ATATAAAATAAAAGAGTTACAAAAAAAAACGCTAAATATTAGAAAACAATGCATTGTCGCTGTTTCCAATATCTTCAGACTTAGAAAATAAATTGAGTCACACGCTACGATTGTCAGTCAGGCGTTAAAAGTACAAAACGCGATGCCTTCAGTGAACATTTTCCTACGAACACCAGGTACCTTAATCTAGCTTCCGGCTTGTTGTAATTAATGCACACGAGCCCCGACCACAAACGAGAAACTCGTCTAGTAACAGTACACTACACGTTCTGCTATTTAAATCTTTCATTTTAAGTGAAACGTTCATGCTCGCTTTTTAAATGATACGATGCTTAAAAAAAATGTGAGCCGTCACGGGACGCCTGGCAGATGTGAAACATCGACATTATTTTGTAAAAGTAATATGCAGAAAAGAACAGATTGTGATAGGAACTAAATATGTCATAATGATAAAATATGTTAAGGAACATTATTTATCCTTACCATCTTAAATAAATTATATATATTTGTATAATGTATTATAATATAAAGTAAGTATATGTGTGTATGTTATATATATGTATGTGTGTGTGTGTGTGTATTTGTATGTATATATATTGTTTTGTATCTTGTAATATGTATATATTATCATATGTAATGTTTACTGTATGCACTAGGTTTGTGTTCCTAATTCTTCTTTCCATTTGCGGGCCTACTGGAAGAGATTTCAGCATGAAATAAGTAGTGCCCTTGTACTCTGTATCCTTATTGACGTGTCTTTTCTAACAGCTGTGTGTACAAAATATATTAAATAAAATAAAAAAAATAAATAAAATAAAATATTACGAAAAAATGATTTGTTTTCAAGTAAAACACAGGTACTGTAGTAAACAACACTGTATACACTACGGAGTATACACTATAGGTATTCGAGCTCAGTGTAGCGAGAGAGATGGCTTAACGCCGGATTGAGTGGGAGAGAATCGCACAGTCGATTGCGCATGGCGACGCGTCGCCACGGCATGCGTCGCCACGCCAGAAATCGGTTTTACGTGCGGCTATAGATGTTTCACATCAAAAAATTCCATCATAACGTCTAAAAGGTTTCCACCGTTAAATCATTTATTTATTTCACAATCAATTCGGACTTATTCGACCAACACCGGGTGTTCGAAACATCATAACAGCTTTGTTCTTGTTTGTTGATTCGTGTTTCAAGTTTGCGAAAAGCCACTTATTCTTTGCCGAGTCGCCACATTGTCTGCTATTCAGGTAGCATTAAGCTGGCCATTTAAGAAATCTCATTACCCAAATAACGTAACTTTATTTAAAATTATTTTGCGGTTTAATTATGCGTTTTTAAATATTATGATATTATTTGTTAAGTCTGTTTGATATGTCTTTACTGATGGTAGAACGTCTTGCGCATCCGCACGAGTAAGTACCACCACCTGCCTGTTTCTGCCGTGAAGTAGTAATGCGTTTCGGCTCGAAGGTTAGGGCAGCCGTTGTACTGTAAAAACTAAGGGCTTAGAACTCATGTCTCGAGATGGGTGGCAGAATTTACATTGTAGATGTCTATGGGCTCCGGTAACCACTTAATACCAGGTGGGCTGTGAGCTCGTCCTAAGTAATACAAAAAAAAATCCTCGATGACATGTGACTGACCGTCATGAAGAAAACTGTGAAGTATTTTAAAAGTAGTTTGAATTAAGTTAACGACTCGGGAAAACTGAAAAAATACTTTAACATAGCTTTGTTATAAAAATGGAATCCACAAATTTTGTGCAAGCACTAATGACGTAACACTACATGACAACACAAACAAATTCAGCCACCTAAGTGTGATTGTAATCAGATTTGTAATTTTGTCTATCAGCTAGTTCTCTCGATCGCTCACACCGTCGTAATTAAAAATCTTTATTGTTACAATGAAGCATCTTTTTGATACAGTTAAACTTCTTTATAGTTTCTTAACTTATTTATTCAATAAAAAAATTATTTTCACACGAACTCTTTACTTTTCGCCCAAAAACATAATATGTAGCGTGCCGTGGCCGCCATTTTTATTTAAAACTAGCTGACCGGGCAGACTTCGTAGCGCCTCAATCGATAAATAAAAGATCTAAACTTTTGTATAAAATAACCTTAAAACAAACAAAAGGAATCCGTCCACATCAAAGGAAAAACATCATTTTCATATTTATCTACCTTTTAAACCTTCTCTGGACTTCCACAAATAATTCAAGACCAAAATTAGCCGAACCGGTCCAGCCGTTCTCGAGTTTTAGCGAGACTAACGTACAGCAATTCATTTATATATATATAGATATTCATCAAATTTATTCTCCGTCGGTTGTACAAGCACCGAAAATTCATCTTCCATTAAAAACGTTTGCCCCTCGATCTAAAATCCATCTGTTACAGTTTTTCTCGATGTTATTCAGTATCAGTCAAAAATATAAATTCAATTCATAATTTTTCCGCTCCTCTCATACAACACACATTCATCACTTGTCATTGACGTTTATTTACAGATTACAGATGTGCGCTTTCGATCCTCCTCAAAAACTGATTAACTGATAGAAAAGTATTTTTGGTGTGTTCTGTACTTTATGGGATTTAAAAAAAAAAAGTCAAACATTTTGAAAGACTTGGATTTCTATAATAAAAAAAAGTTGTTTAAAATCCACACTAGTCAGATTTTCAGCATTTAATTTGAGTGTTTTATCTTATTTGATAATAAATACATTCCATTCATTGAAATATTATTTCATAATATATGACTCTTCTTAATACGCTTTTATTAGCTTCAGACGTATGTGTGCTTGTAACGGAACCTTTGAACATGATTTTGACCCCCTTCAAAACGGTGGATTAACTCGAAATTTGATAAACTTATTAAGGACCGATGACAATTCAAACTAAAGAAAAAAATTGAAAAAAAAATTTGATAAAATTGAAATCCAACTAAAAATGACAAATAAATAACCCCACGCTTTTTTTACAATAAAATCATTTTTTTCTTACACTATTTTTAATTCAAATTTATTAAAATTTATTTTCTATTTTTTATTTGGATTTTCTATAAAAGCGTATTTTGTTAGTTTTTTTTAAACTATTATTTATTTTTCATCTTCTTTCAAAGAAGCGTTACCCTTTATTTTAAATACAAAGAACAAAACAAACTGACCGCTAGCTAATTCTATGTTTCGGTAACTCGCAAACGAGATCAAATGAACAAGTCACATAACAAAGATCCAACCTCATACTGACCGCATCTGTACTATCTATTCAGTTAGTCTACCGAATTAACTGCGGAACAGCTTTATTTCACATTTTGAATGATGTCTAGGGTTGGCAACAAAGAGTTTCACATTTTAATAGCCGGCGAAGGAGTAATTAGTGGCCTTAACGCAACTAACACTCATGTCACTCTTGACAACGAAAAAAACACTTTATTCAACCAAAATTGCTAGCTATAAAACCGGCTAAAACCGGCTACTATCATAATAAAGGAGCACCCATCTTCTGTACGTAACGCAGAGTAGGTATTCTCCTTATTTTTTAGCTTAAGCAGATTTCTAACTGTCATCGTGATTTGCCAATTTGCCAAGCTCACTACTGAGTTTCGTGGTTCGTAAAATATTCTGATTTAATGTTTTAATTTACTTGTGGTAGGATCTCTTGTGAATTCGCATGGGTAGGTACCACCACCCCGCCTATTTGTGCCGTGTAGCACTAATGCGTTTCGGTTTGAGGGGTGGAGCAGCCGTTCTAACAATATTGAAACCTTAGAACTCATATCTCAAGGTGGGTAGTATTTACGTTGTAGATGTCTATAACCAGTAACCACCAGGTGGACTGTGAGCTCGTCCACCCATCTAATTTATAAAAATAAAATAAAACACACACAAATCACCGCAAATAATTGTAAAAACAAAGTAGGCGTAATTTTAAAGTCAAAATCTGCAATATCTTCTTCTTCTTACTCGTTTCACTCTTCGTCATACTCTGATAGAGTTGTCGTGATCGTTATCTAGTACTAGGGGATGATCGTGAGTTCATGTGTCTTGCGATGTCCTGCCATCTTTCGCTCTTCGAGGCCATTCTCCTATTCCTATTTAAGAGATCTCCCACTGTATTCTTGATTTGGCCTCATGAAAGACCTTCCGCGGGGTGCTGTGCCATCCACCCTTCCTTGAACAATGAAACATTCTATGGACTATCTGCATTATAAATACTATTATTTATCGCGTTTTTAATCGTACGATTTTTAGTTTTAATTAGCTCCCAATATTCCGGTGCTAGTAGAAGGATCATGATCACCGGTAGACTGTAGTAAAAGTCCTTATCAAAAACCTAACTGCACCGTGCTCAAACTGCAAATCGCAGTCTTGCCCATTAAATGTTAAATTACTAAAGTAATTTCGAATGAAATTATTGCGAAACTGCAATCTAAAATGTTTTTGGTACCTTTGTTTAGAAAAATTATTATCAACTAGCTGACCCGGCAGACTTCGTAGTGCCTCAATCGATAAATAAAAGACCTAAACTTTTGTATAAAATAAACTTGAAACAAACAAAAAGAATCCGTCCGACCGGGGACACATCAAAGGAAAAACAAAATTGTTATTTTTATTTAATTCCGAGCATTTTCATATTTATCTACCTTTTAAACCTTCTCTGGACTTCCACAAATAATTCAAGACCAAAATTAGCCAAATCGGTCCAGCCGTTCTCGAGTTTTAGCGAGACTAACGAACAGCAATTCATTTTTATATATATAGATGTTATTCCTTCACCGTGGAAGTCAATCGTGAAACATTTGTTGAGTACGTATTTCTTTAGAAACATTGGTACCCGCCTGTGGGATTTAAACACCGGTGCATCGCTTCAACACGAATGCACCGGACGTCTTATCCTTAAGGCCACGACTTTGGAACTTGTTTAAAAATATTATTATCAATTAATTAACAAAAGATTTCCTTGACTAAAATAATTCACATGGTTCGAGAGAATATCGATGCTAGTTATCCTGCTGAACTGCGTGACCCTTGGGATGTACCAGCCTTGTGTCGACGATCAGTGCGTCACGAACAGATGTAAAATATTACAGGTGAGAAATTTACAACAATTTCAATATGTTTTTTGGTTGTATGCTGCTACCTCATTCTCTACCTATACCATTACCACAAACCACAATGAGCAAATTTCGCAATGTTTCCGAAGCTGGATAATATAATTTTGTTCCAATTTCGTTTATAACTCAAACGGAAAACCTATTACAAACCATTCAAACCAATTATATCTTAATCACAATAATACATTATCATTTTTGAATTAATAATATAATATAATATACTTACGCTAGAACATTTAATGATCATAACAACCATAAAATATTACGAAAACTTATTTGGTTGGTTCGATTTTTATTTATTCTTTTCAAAAATAGAAATATGTGTGCAAATTCGAATTTGAATTTTAATACGTAATACGTAGGTGTATTCTAACATAGCTCTTAAGTTATGTGTTGTTTTAAATATCAACTAGCGGACCCGGCAGGCGTTGTCCTGCAAAAATTAATTCAAGCCGATCCAGCCGTTTAATTGTATAAATAAATAACCTAGGTACCGACTGCAGCGCCATCTGCCAGGCTGATTTGTGAATCTAAACCATCCAGGGTGCTACCCAAATGCATACAAAAAAATCATTCAAATCGATCCAGCCGTTTAGGAGGACTTCAGTGACAAACACACGCACAGAAGAAATATAACAGAAGAAATACATAAAGATTAGTATGGTCATTTCGGAAAGTAAACATTATTCGTGTTCGCAGGTATTCGACGATATAATTTTCGCGTTTTTCACACTGGAGATGACAATCAAGATGGTCGCGATGGGCGTGTACGGACACAGCACGTATCTCGCCGACTCCTGGAATCGACTCGACTGTTTTATAGTAATGGCAGGGTAAGTCTTATCACCTTGTAAACTGTGGAATTTATACGGATAGTATCTATCCGACTGAGGATCAAGATACGTACGTGTGACCCCGATTCCGTGCCACTAGTATTTCCTACTTTTATAGCGTTAAATGAGCGGACGAGCTCTGAATCCACCTAGTTCCATGTGCTTACTAGAGTTCAGAGAGATGCGATTGTCGTCATAGAAACATGTCATATGTAAGTAGTATCAATTTGGTAATGTACCCACTCTGCCCCACCTTACCTTTTAGACCGGAACTCACGAAATATTTCTGCAGTGAAGCAGTAATGCGTTTCGGTTTGAAGGACTGGGGCAGCCGTTGTAACTATACTGAGACCTTAGAACTTATATCACAAGGTGGGTGGCGGAATTTAAGTTATAGATGTCTTTGGACTCCAATAACCACTTAACACCAGGTGGGCTGTGAGCTCGTCCACACATCTAAGCAATAAAAAATTAAAAAAAAACCTCCTTGCAACTTCCATCGTCATTGTGGGAAGGTCATATTAATTTCCAATTTCACTCTCCCACTAATTCTCCTATCTTGTATAATACGGGAATAGCTGACAAAGAGAAGATCTTAAGCCGATCGGGTGTCTTTGTCGGTACCAAATAACCCAAATAGTGGCTATTCAGAACTTGTAATAATGTTGAAGCTTATCTTGCAACAATTCAGGTTTTGGAAGGTCACTACTATTTCTATAATAGCCATTACGCTATTACCATAGTATACCGCTACTATGACCAATCCCTCATGCGGCGTCATGGGTAGTACAGTCGTCATTTTAATGCATGTAGGGACTTCCACCTAATATCCCTAGATTAGTGGCATCTACGCTAATTGAAAATAACATTAATAATTAATGCTATAATTTTATAAGCAAAAAATATCGCAATACTGTTAAACTAGGACGAATCACACATCTGGCCCCAAACTGGGATTTCCCATACTTTGGAACCCAGGACTGGTACGTATGTATATTTATTCATATACATTGTAATATTATACCTATATAACTATATATTGAATGAATATATATTATGATTTATTTTAATGAACTTCAAATACAAAATTGGAGCAATCGCAAGAGTTTCAATTGAGATAAACTTCGATTTCAATTCTCGAGCTAAGCTAACTCTCGAGTGAGCTGTGAAGGACCGTTTTCAACTAATATCAACATTAACTGACGATAACTTAAATCGTTTCAAAGTTTCATGCTCTGAGATCTTTCCATCAAATATAAATGAATAATTTAAATAATTTTTCAAGCACTAATTACTACAACCTTTATGACTGATCAACATTTCAATCATATCTTATTTTACCATAGCATATTTCATACAGTTTAATTACATATTTATAATGGACGTTTACAATTTTTACAATATGATGCATGAGTTAAATCAATTTCAATTCTTTAGGTGTTGAAAATTCCTAATCGATGCATTTCAAATACTGTATGTTATATTTATTCGAATTGAAGAAGTTCCTCTTCTTATTGGTATCTCATAATTGAAGCTACCTTGCAGTTGTAAATGAACTTCTCCGTAATACTAAATATCGAACTTCTGACCGACTTCAGTCTTCAGACTGCGTTCATTGGCATTACAAACAACTTCCGCATCTCAGAGAGAACGTGTTATTCTAACTTCTGTTACTCACAATTCAAAAGCATTTTTATGGTTTAATTTTATTGCTTACTGTTTCCCTTTTATATTTTCCGACGTTTTAAATACTTAACATGACCATGGCTACAACTAAATGACTAGAAAAACTGTATAGCTTTTTTTTCTTACCTAAGCTGTGAGTCTTGAGAGGCTATATCAGCGTAACCTTAACTAGTAGGTGAGCTCACGGGACTCAAACCTGACGAAGTTGCTAACACGAACCCTAGCAAGAGCCGTGCTTCGCAGAATTTACCACCGGATCGGAAACGCGACCCACTAAGAAGATCCGGCGAGAAACTCAGTGGCTGTATCTGAGGGTTAATTTACTCGTCGAGCCCTTCGTCGCAAGCGACGGGTTCGACGAGAACGATGACCGGTGCTTGAGGTACCTAAAAGCACAGTTAGTGGATCGGGAGGATCCGAAATAACGTGTTTGGGGCGACGTCGACTGCTTTCCATTCTGTCCGCAGGATCGGGAATGTAGTTACCGACGGCCACGATGAGAGGGTTCTCGTGTCGTGCCGCTTTATCGAAGTGGCGCTTCGACACCGACTGCAGATACTTACTAATGGACACTAAGTCCAGGTCGTCATGGAGTTCGACGTTCCTGACGAACCACGGAGTTCCGACGGCTATCCTGCAAAAACGGGATTGAATCATTTGGAATGATTTTAAGTTAGTGCGGGCCGCGTGAGCAAACACCACACTTGGATAGGTCATGACGGGGCGTATGCGAGTTTTGTAGAGTGTCACCTTATTTCTAAGGGACGATTTACTTCGCCTGCATATCATCGGGTAGAGGCGTCCTAGTATGAAGGCGGCACGGTCGCGTATCGTCTTTATGTGGGGGCGGAATGTCATCCCTCTGTCGAGAGTGACGCCTAAGTATTTAACCTTCGGGGCCCACGGTGTGGTTTGGTCGTACATAATGATTGGGCGAATGGCGGAGGCAGGGGTGTTGACACGCCTAGTCGGGAGTGGGATGGTTAATGTGGTGTTCGGAAGGCGACCCCTTTTGAAGAGCACCGCTGTGCTTTTCGTGGGGTTGATGTCGATGCGCCACTTCCGGAACCACTGTCCCATGGTGGTAGCTGCGGTCTGGAGTCGCCGATGTAACAACGACTTCTTCCTACATGAGTAGTAGATAGCCGTGTCATCGGCGAAGAGCGCCAGATGGTTCTCTGGAGACCGGGGTATATCATACCGTAGTGCCAGACTTTGTCGAACGCCTTCGCTATATCGAAGAAGAGGGCTCCTGTCGGGATGGGGTATAGCTTTAACATAGTACATAATATCAAGTATCTCTACATAATTAGATAATAGATAGTAAATAGCATAATTTCGTCGTTATCGTGACTGTCATTTAAAAGGCACAAAAAAATGTTGAAACGCTTCTAAAATGTTATATCCCTACGTAATGATAATTGTGTTCTATTGACATTATATTAGTAGTGAAAGTTGATCACAATATTACATTGTCCACCAGAGCATTGGAGTACGCACTGAACGTGGAGAACATAAACTTATCAGCGATCAGGACTATAAGGGTGCTCCGACCACTAAGAGCCATCAACAGGATACCAAGTAAGTTTCAAATAACCTATAACGACTTTTATATAAATCTAGGTAAATTTGAAAATTCAAAACGCGATCATTGATAAATGTAAGCACTTATTTTATCATGTAGGTTGTCGTGAGTTTGAAAATTTTTAAGATTTCACAATATTAGTGGTACCCCGGTAGTCGAAATTCGATTATAATTAATTGAAATTATAAGTTTATACACTATTATGTTTCTATTGTCATAGACTATTATTATTATACTTATATAATTAGAGATTTCCAAGACTACACTTTAGACTATAAAGGCAAACAATATTGAACCTATTCTCAATTTGACCACAGACTTTATGCAATAAGAAAAGTTTGACAGTAAGCTAATAGTGTATGTGTCAAATACATGGTAGTGTGTGTAATGTTGCTTTTTATTGATTTAATGTATTTTTTATGCATAATTAAAAAAAATTAGATTCTGCACTCCTTCTCTACATTCTCTATAAATGTGGGAAATTTCATACTCCTCCGTCCGCACAATTTTCGTAAAAAGGGGTCAAAGTTTTTGCTTCACGTATTAATATGTAGGTATAATAATCGTCAATAGCCCGATTAGAATTTACCAATATACAACTCGCCTGAGTAGCCTTACCTTCAGAAATGTACACAAACAATTGAAATATATGAATAAGAAACAATTATTATATTATGTTTAAAATACAATACAGACTTCGATGTCACGTCTCAAGATTCAGCTTACCGTCAATTTTGAGCTTTTTTTTGTATTTTAATTGACTAATCGATTATGCAAATATTTTAATTTTAATGTTTGAAAACCCTTCCTCATTGTTTTTTTTCATATATTTACGTCAACAGATTAAGTTTTGTTGGTTTATTTTTTGTTCATAAACATACTTGTGTATATTTTATTTTGTTATTTAATCATTACATAATACATACACAAAAAATATATAGCCAAAGGAACTTCTTTCCAATCGGGTGTCTATGACACCCCTCTCTTTTTTTTATTTAACTTTTTTTCCTTTATTTATGCACAAAACAAATTACAACCATAGAAATTATAAATTTAAATATTTAATGTAACAATCTGAATTGCAATTCAAAACGGGTGCATACAGAAAAATTATAACAACTGAAAAAATGCCTAAATATCTTTGTGTATATATAACTTTATTGAAAATAAAACTTAGATTGTGTAAAAAGGTAACTTATCGCGGCCCCGACGATGAAAACAAACAAGATATTTTACTATAAATGTTGTAAGTTACTTTCTCAGAACCAGAACAATCGAACATTTCCTAAAGCTCACTAAATAAACACATGAAAAAAACACAAGGTCCGAACTGAGAACCTCTTCTTCAAGTTGGTTAAAAACTAAGTAACGAAGTGCTTTGCAAAGTTGTTATTAAAGGCCCCTAACTGCTAAACCACGGTAAAGAAAAGCTCTTAAGACGAGAACCCTTTGGTTAAAGGCCACCGCTTCCGCGCCAACGACCTCAATAGATGTAGTTAAATTAATGTCCTTTGAGCTTTATAAGGACACGAGAAGTTTGTGCGATGAAAGAAAATTTACATTTACTTTTAGTAGTTAGCTAATGGAAATATACTTTTTAGATCTTATTTTACGTTGGAAGCAATATAGTCCCATTAAAGGAAAAGTTGTTGCAGCTTCATAAGCTTTACAAATTATTTGTACATTAATTAGAAATAAAAAAAAACGCAATTTATAAGATAGCTTTAATTCATTATTTAAACTAATAGACAGATACATATTATACTTCTTTGATGCAAAACTAGATGTTTTCTAGACACTAGAAAAAATATACTAAAACAATTTTTGTAATAGCCATTTTATGAACTGGATAATGTATCAAAACATCTTTTAGCCTTCAACATAGCGCGTAACATCATAAAATTCCGAATACCTCAGGGAATTTTCAACTTTTGTACATAAAACTGACCTACCTTAACTAATTTATACTTATGTTATCTACTAAAAGAAATATTTAAATGTAAGAATACTTCAAACGAATGAACGAATAGAACAAAAACGCTTAAATAGCAAATTGATCTAACTATGGACTTCATCTTTTTTTATCCTGTTGATACTTTGATTAGGTTATTAGAAAGATGTCATAAAATGATTGTATTGTTAGCGGTCCTTGATGCGTTTTCAAATTCTCAAATTAATATGACGTCTTAAAGTCGGTAAAATTATCTTCAAAGATTACGTTATTCACAAACCAATATACATTCATAACAAGCAATAAAAGCGTGTTAATGAAAATATGTCTCTCAAACAACTGCAACAAAGAAATACTCTAAATTATGACAACAATATTTTATAAATTACCTTAAATGACATTTAAATTTAAATTTCGATTGATTCAATAACCGCCCTCGAAATTAATAACATCTCAAGAGCACCAGCAGATATTGATTTTTAATTCAACAAAAAAGTGGTTATAATCTTCGTAAAATATACAATAATACAAATCAGGCCCGGAGGTCGTTAACCCCCTGTCTAGATTAAAAAAATGCAACGAACCACTTCCCGTTCAAATATCAAACATTTCAACTCACAATGTTCCATACGACTGCCGAGTCAGATCTTTAACTCATTACTATTGTAGCACAAGTCACATGGCGTAAAAGCGAGTTCAGAGCACAAAAGAAATCCATACAGTCGGTTCCACTTAGAGAAATTAACCATGAGCTGGATTCAAGAGTGGTATGGGCAACGATCGATACCTAGCAACAAGTGAACCCGCAGTCCCCTTTACAACCAGCCACTCCTACTAAACTTAACTCGCGTCGAGCGTAACACTTGAATAGGCTATTTTAAATCGAATCTGAAATGCGACTTGATAGTTTTGTATGAAGATCTATTTATAATAAAAATTGAAAAAATACATCCATTAGTGAAAATAAACACGTACATTATTTGTTAAGTGTAATGACAATAAATTTTAATAAATTTGAATAAAAAATAGTGTAAATCCTTATAAGTGTGTATCCTTAAAAGCACACCACGCTTTTTTACATTAAATGATTTTCTTACACTATTTTTAATTCAAATTTATAAAAAATTATTTTCTATTTTTTAGTTGAATTTTCTATAAAAGCATATTTTGCTAGTTTTTTTAAACTATTATTTATTTTTCATTTTTTAGTTGAATTTGAATTTTTCCAATTTTTATTTTTTTTAGATATTGTATTGTCATCGGTCCTTAATAAGTATACTAAATTTCGAGTTAATCCGAAGTTTTGAAAGGGGGTCAAAATCATGTTCAAAGATTCCGTTACATACATACGTCTGAAGCTAATAAAAGCGTATTAAAAATAATGCGTAAATAATTACACGATATTAGAATAATACGAAGCTTAAATAACTGTTATTGTTACCGTCAAACAAATACCGCAACAAAGCCATAAACTTGCTAAGCCCCGAAGCCAATTCGTGAAACTTTATCTAAATACACAATGCCATGAAATCTGAAGCATTGAAATTCAATAATTCAAAGGAACGTTCGCGAATACCAAACAGCGCCGAGCATTCCAACAAAAGACGGGCGTACTAAAGTTTCAAACTGAAGTCTGAAGGAAGCATCTGGGACAATGCGATGCAACTAGTATAAATTATATCGTAGCTCTCTCGCGGTTAGACATATCATCACTGGTAATTTATTCTCTTCGCATACAATTTATTGCTCTCTTGTGCCTTCTTAGACGATTATCTTGGAACGAAAATATGATTTGCAATCCTATTAGGACATTGTTTTCTGTTCGGTCTCATTATCTATATATTAATACGTGAAGCAAAAACTTTGTTTTACGAAAATTGTGCGGACGGAGGAGTTTTCTCACACTTCTAGAGAATATAGAGAAGGAGTGCAGAAAGCTAATATTTTTTTTAAACTATGCATTAATAATACATAAATCAATAAAAAAATACATTACACACACTACCATTTAAACACACACACGCGTGCATACTATTTGTTTATTGTTAAACTTTTCTTATTGCTTATAGTCTGTGGTCAAATCGAGAATAGTTTAAACATTGTTTGTCTTTGTTAATATTTGTCCAAAGTGTAATCTTGGCGAAATCTGTGATTATAGAAGTATAATAGTGTTTGATAATAGAATCATAATAATGTACAAACTTATAATTTCAATTAATTATATATGAATTTCGACTACCTGGGGACCACTAGTTCAATTTCAATTCCTTTAAGCTTTTAAGTTATTTCAACGACTTTATTTACTTAATAAACATGTAAATGAAATTAAAAGTAAATACGCTTTAAAATCGCGAATCTAATATTAAGTACAATATGTTTCGATATCCTTAAACCATTTGTTAATTTTGGATCAAATTAAATATACAATATTACGAATAATCTGATTAATTAGATTCAATGGCAGACACAAAATTGGTTTTCGCTTTGCCAATAAACGGTAAAACAGATTTTCGCATATTCAACAGATTGAAACTAATTAGAGTCGATTGAAAACGACAATATCAAATTTATGATCATTATCAGAATCTTATCATATTGAAATTTATATTATGTTATCACTCGGTTTTCGATCCAAAAATGTACGAAATATATCCCGTAGATAGGGATATGCATAGGCATAGAAGTGGTTGAGTAATTTTAAAATTAGTGATGCTATTTTCATAGATTTTACGCTTTGTGGCAATTGGTTAACCGAAATGTTACTTAAGATCATCTAAACATAATAGAGAGAGCTTTATTTGATTTGTGCAATGATCACGCTTTCTCGGTTTATTGTTGGAAGAATCATAGGAACAGCCTGGTAAAAGAAAAGTCGTACTTAAATTCCTTGGAGTTTTCCGAAAGGCTCCTCTTACAGAAGTCTTGTACTTGAAGCAGACCAATGTCTTCTATTTTGTAATTAGTTCACTTTGAAACACCAATATTAATATTCTATAGTTTCAATCAGTAACGTCTTAGGTCATTATCAAATAATTATTATAATAATCATATGAAACAGCTTTCTAAAGCAGGCGCGTATGCGGAAACCACTATACGCTTCTTTTTTTTATAAAAGGAGAAAAACAACATAGGTGTCGCATTATTTTAAAAAAATTAATTAATTCACAACAATAAAATATTTACAAATGTTTGTATCATTTTAGGCTCTTATAAAATAAACAAATTACCTACTAATAGACTTTATATTCATATAATTCTAAATCTTAAGATTTAAATTGAAGTGTTAATGCAATTATACATATTTAATGACTCAATTATTCAATTACACTAATTCGTGTCCAATTATTCAAAGATTAATTTTTATTCAACAGGCATGCGGATTCTGGTAATGCTGCTCCTTGACACACTTCCGATGCTCGGGAATGTTCTATTACTCTGTTTCTTCGTATTTTTTATATTCGGAATAGTCGGTGTCCAGCTGTGGGAAGGAATATTAAGGCAGCGCTGTGAACTCGTTTTACCGACCAACGTACTCAGACCTAAGTAAGTATTTTATTTGAACACCCAATATTAATTCTTAGGCACAGTATGTATTTTCATTACATCGTGTGTATTTAGTCAAAATAAAGCTAGAGTTTTATTAGCAATACATGAATTTAGCATCGTTTTCGAAATCTATTAACACGATTGAAATAACTTACAAGGAACTAATTAAACATTTATAGTTTTTAAAACAATATACGAAAAATATTTAATAATTATTTTGCTTGATGTACCGAAAAGAGGTCGTCTTAGAAGCACGTCCCATCGCTAATGTTGACTGCATGCAATATTTAACGCTTACTCGTACATCCCTACGAGCCCATCCATGGCTGTTCTTTACATCATTTAATATCAGCATTCATCGTTGCATAAAATTCTGCACAGTTACTAACTTTACCAAAACGTGCATGTTGAGATAATCAACTCACAATCAATTTACAATAAACACACGTAAATATTGCATTCCGTCAATACTCACAATGTACCAAAATCGTAATGACACACTCATAAATATACCTGTATACATAATGTACAGACATTTAACAATGTCGTAAACAGTAAATGGATTTTCGTGTCTAAAACTATTGCTACATTTGAATGGTTCTAACATAATAATGTTAGCATCAAAATAGGATAACATAGACTTTCATCGTAGTTAACCAGAACTACCTTGATACGAAACTCAAACTTTACCATTAAATAATACATTCAATATAAAAAAAAAAAAGGAATATGTTTTCATTTGATCGCGATCGGATTCGTTCATGATTGATTAAATTATTTGATAGTTAAGTAGTAAAATTAGGTACATAACGCAAATCACGGCTTCCTTCATTTGTGTTCCAGAGACCTGTCCGAATGGTACAGAGTGCGCGTCAGAGTGAACTCGTAAGGAATTTGCGAACAGAATTCAATGTGTTTCTATTATCGATATTGCGATCTGTTGTAACGTGTACCTTCACACATCTGCCGTCCAGATGTGCTACTATATCTGCTTCATTTTCGCGAATTGGCAGTTTTATAAAAATAATGTGTTTACCTTTAACAAATTAAACAGCTTCATTGTGAAAAAATAAACGAAACTAACCATATTTATGAACTGCCAATTTGTTACGATACGTTATTATCGGTAGTTTCTTCAACTTCCTCTGTAAATGATTTATGAAAATGTACAGCTGTCCCTCTTGAAAGTATTAGTTTCAAAGCCATAAAAACGTAATTAAATATCGAATTATCTTTTGGTCGAGAAGTTTCAGAGATGATCCTACTCTCGTGAACTGTACCATTCATTACCGAACAATCTAATGGACATTCACACACACTTTAATATCCACATAATACTTTGTAGGTTCACAGAACATAGACAAATTAATCTGACTAACATTCATACTCCCATTGAGAAATCACATCACATTTCGTTAAACAATTGCATTTGTATCTTAAAAAAAGCTTCTTGAAACGTGTTTTATATTGATGTTGGAGACCACAATAAAAACCTTTATGAGTGTCATGAAGAGTACGAGTCCCGAAATGACCGGGTGTCCCAAACGACGTGAGTTAGGGTCGGCGTGTCCGTGTTCCGAAGCATGTGGACCCTATCGTAAACGATAACGGCACAAAGACCACTGACGTTAATCTCTCCGATCCACCTCTCAGTTTCTCTAAGCCACCTTTATTAGCGCTACCATTATCATTAATTGAAATAGCCGATATAGTCTTTATACCTACCTGACCAACTTCTAACTAAGCGTTTGTTCGCATGCTATTTACATTTTCTCTAGTATCCGCATGTGTTTTACTCTAGTTTGTTGAAAACGTTTTCTTCAAAACGTAAACAGTGAAAAATGTAAGCATTATTTTTAACACGACCGCTTTAGCACCTAGAGTACCTATATAGATTAGTGTTTTCACTCATACAATTATATGTGTCTGTATGTAGATTTGATGTTGTGTTACAAGTAAATCTAATAATAGCATTAAACGCCCGGAAAAAAAAACATGATTGTTTACAACCAAAGAGTCTGTTTTTACAACGAATACAACGGACGGCAACAGTTCATTAGTATTCACCCTTTTGAATAAAACATCATCCCTTTTGCTTCTCATTAGCGAGCTCATTTATCATTAACTCGAATTCGTCTCGCGCCCGACTATAAGAACGACATTTTTTATTTTATATACAGATGTAAATTTTAGAATTGCATTCCAGCATTTCGTTTTACTACGAGTTCTCTAAAGAGCTGGATTACATTTGCACGACACCAGAGGATAGCGGAATGCACCAGTGCGGAGACTTTCCTCCCTACAGATACGGACCTTTAGTATGTAATGAGACGGCCAAGCCTTTCTCATATAATAGACCTTCTAACGCTTCCTGTGTAAACTGGAACCAGTATTACACTAATTGTACTCAAAGAGGAGCCAATCCATTCCAAGGGACTATTTCCTTTGATAACATCGGACTTGCGTGGGTCGCTATTTTCTTGGTAAGTTTCCCTAACATACCTATTCAGTTTGTACTTGTGTCGTGCGTAAAATTGTTAAGTAATTTATTAATTACAGGTCATTTCTTTGGAAGGTTGGACAGATATAATGTATTACGTACAAGACGCTCACAGTTTTTGGGATTGGATTTATTTCGTGCTCCTCATCGTGGTACGTTTTTCATCAATTTCAAAATTCAATAGACAAAATGGACACGTAATGTTACGTGACCGAAGCCTGATGGAGGTGTACATCGCTGGTGGCATACAAATTACGTTATTTTTACATGTAGAGTGTAGACGTCTCATAACCGCGATGCTTAAGGCAGACATTTTTATCTAAAGTGGTATGACATTACTATTAGTATTTCTGCCATAAAATAATGCATTTCGGTTTGATGAGTGACACAGCCGTCTTATTATAAAACTAAGAATTAGAAATTATACATCCATTATTAAGTAATAAAAAAAGAAAACTATTGAAAAAAATAATTGCTGCTAAATTTTGTAAAAATTCAATACATGAATCTTTCTAAACATTATACAACAATAAATCAGATTTTCCGTGCTAAACCCGTGACATACAGCCCTATATTAATTATAATAAAATATTGAAACACACATGAAATAACAGTCGAAATTTTATGTCACTTGAACGTTCGCAATTTGATTGCCAGATCGGGTCATTCTTTATGATCAACCTTTGCCTGGTCGTGATCGCGACACAGTTCAGTGAAACAAAGAAACGTGAAATGGAACGTATGAGAGCTGAACGAGCACGGTTCACATCGTCCTCGACCCTCGCTTCGTCTACCAACAACAGCGAACCGGCGACTTGTTACGCGGAAATCGTGAAATACGTTGCGCATCTGTGGAGGCGATTCAAAAGACGAATGATGAAAAAAATAAGGTATGTAATATCTGAAACTCCTTGAATAATAATGACATATATATTTCGAAAAAGGAATGTCATTGCCCTTTGAGATGACAATTTAAGCTTTAAGAACTGAAAATTAATTGATTTAAGAAAACTCCATTTAAAACCAACTTATTAACAGTATTAGAATTTAGAATTAACAGATCATAAGATCGTCGTCATTAAAATTTTACAAATCCTATTAAACCTGAATACTGTTGTTGGAAATTCTTATATAACTACATATATCTTTCCTATATATTCAAAGCCTTTCAGAGGAACGCTCGCAAACAAAAACAATACATATTAAAATATCTCGTTTGTATTATTTCATAACACAAACACTCGGATTCATTAAGTACATTATCAATGTGCCGAAATTCCAACGAGGAGCCGCAAACTCCGAGTTTCAAATTAAATATCGTATTTCTACATGTTAATGATCAACATCATTTTAGATTTTTAGAGGTTATATTTGTAAATGAATACTATTTATTCTAATACTAGCGGTAGGACATGCTTTGAAACTAATTATTTCAGTAACAAGCAAAGATGCGGTTCACTTTAAAGGGAGTGAGTATGGAAGCTGTGACCACATGTCTCAAGGTTATTGGAGACATTCCCCCTATAACCCCTATAACCATTTAACACCAAGCACACCAAATTACATGTCAATCGAGACCAAGAAACCAAAGTTGTATTAATTTTTTATGTAATGATTTTACAAAGTCAGATTTTCTGTTCAGTAATACTTAACATAAGCTTCGAAAACATTATTTTTCTGTAGGTATAATGTACACAAAACAATAAAAATAAAAAATTTGGAAGGTTATAATTTATATGATAAAAATTAATTTTCTATTGATTTATCTCTGTTGACGAACCACGAACTTTGGTATAGTTGATTCAATCTTTTCAAAGGCTTTTCATGCCATTTCTACATTAGTACAATAATAAGACTCTGCTACAAACCTTAGGCAATCACAAACACAATTCGAGTTACGTGCGTACTATGCATAATGAAAAAGTATTTACGATTAGCTCGCATTTATTAATTGTACGTTTTTCTAGTGGTGCTATAAGTGTGATTCTAGATTTTTTTAAACTAAAAAACTGATAGTCTGGGTATTAGCTAAAGAAATAAAAGTAATGTCTCTAAAATGTGTATAATTTATTTATTTCATCGTACATCTTTTAGTCAGTGAAAATAAAGTTGAAATATTCTTTTTTTTTATGGCTTAAGTGGGTGGATGAGCTCACAGCCCACCTGGTGTTATGTGGTTACTGGAGCCCATAGACATCTACAACGTAAATGCGCCACCCACCTTGAGATATAACTTCTAAGGGTCTCAGTATAGTTACAACGGCTGCCCCACCCTTCAAACCGAAATGCATTACTGCTTCACGGCAGAAATAGGCAGGGTGGTGGTACCTACCCGCGCGGACTCACAAGAGGTCCTACCACCAGTAAAGAGGTCCTACCACCAGAAAGAAATAAAATATACTTACATTAGTACGCTCTACATGAAAAAGAATATGTTTTGAATAAATGTACAAATCGTAGATCATTTTACTTTGTGGGAACAGTATCGTCGAAATTTCTTTATTTCAAATTTCAAAAGAAATCAATTGACCTAAATACCGCCTTTTGTTGAGCTCGACTTTTTTCTTGACATTCAAGGACTCGAATTACGCTTTCCATCTTCGAGTTTTTTACATATTATTCACAAAGACATTATGTTGGTGAAAAATGCTAAGCTCATCAAGCTTTTCGTAAAGCTTAACAAACGTAAGGTACATTAATAATAATTTATAATAGGAGTATATTGTGGGTTCCGGATAAAATTATAAAGTGACTTTATGTATGTCGAAAATTCTTACAGTCTAAATTGACGGGTCAAAAACACTGTTCTTTCACTGACGTACTATTAATTTCGCTACACCACTATTCACAATGCAACCGGTCCGTAACGAAGTAGAAGAACCTTACCGGATTTTCCCATCTGAGTTTCCTTTATCACGATCCTTCTTGTAATGCTTCGATTCCGCTCATCTATTTTCTACTACAAGGCGCTTTAGCTACATCTTACTAAAAAAAAATTGTGAAAAGTACAAATGCTTCCTTAGTGTTCCGGAAATTTTGAACGATTGCATTAAAATGAAATTGCATTAAAATGAAATTGCTTTAAAATGATTGAACGATGAATTAAAAGAGATCAGTTTAAAAACACATCACTCCATTCTCCAAAATGCTATCTACCTATCGCTTCCGCGTTGTTTTCCGAGCTCTATTACAAACGAATACCTCTTTAAAATAGATTTCAAACGAGTTCTCAGTACTGGACAGTGGTTACAAACAGGTATGTCCCTGGCATTCTGAGATTCAGGAGTAAGGGATTTTTTTATATATACCCATATATATTTAGCGAGAAGGCATTACTGCTGACCCGAAGTCCTTTAGGAGTAACGGTGCCCACTTATTTTTAACAACGTAATAACTATAATATCTATACTACTACTACTATCTAATATTAAAAAAATATTCTAATATTTAAAAAAAAAGACAAGCCCGCTGAGTTTCTTGCCAGCTCTTCTCAGCACGGAGACTAGTTTTTGTGAATTGGCGGTAGTTCTTTTTGACGTTCAACAAGTATGTACTTTCATTTATGTTGAATAAATTTTTATTTATTGATTGATTGACTGTAGGGTATATCGATATCAACGCGCTCAGCTCCGCTGGAGAACAAGTCGGGAGACGCTACAATTGCCATCGAACAAAACAAGACAGCATCACCCTTGCTGTCCACGAGTGCATCCACAGGTGAGTTCAATGAACTTGACTATACCACCTTTACTGGTGGTAAGACCTATTGTGAATCCGCACGGGTAGGTACCACCACCCGGCCTAATTCTGCCGTGAAGCAGTAATGCGTTTCGGTTTGAGAGGGGGCAGCCGTTGTAACTATACTGAGACCTTAGAACTGATATCTCAAGGTGGATGACGGCACTTATGTTGTAGATGTCTATGGGCTCCGGTAACCACTTAAGACCAGGTGAGCTGTGAGCTCGTCCACCCATCTACGCAATTTTTTTTGTCGTAACTTTTTGTCTTAAACGAGATCATAGCCCAAAAAGCGTGAAGCAATAATCTGAACACACATTAAAGTCCGCAACCTACCCTCAAAAATGATGTCGAAGACTCAACTATGTTGTAGAGCGGCTGTCATCCCACATGGATACATATTTGGATGGAGGCACATTTCTGGATCATTCTCACTAATTTAAAGAACATCATTTCTCGATATTACGAATTTACGTTTTACCCGAGACCTAAGTGCTAGTTGACAATCTGTAGCAAATCATCTGTCAAGAGCTTAAATTGAGTGATTAAATCGAGATTAAATTTAGAATTCAATCATTTTAAAAGCCATTCCGGTTTACCAATGGTAACGACTTAGGAACAAATATCATTATGGTAAATTATCACGAAATTGTTATAATAATTTACAATAAATAATAAGATTCTGTAAAGTCCGGTTCCAGATTCGGTTTGGGCACAAACAAATTCTATTATGCAATGATTTTATCACTATGTAAACTGCATTATTTCTAAATGACCCGAAACAAACAAACTAATACTACGCATTCTACTTTGTACTTGTGTATTGGCGTATGCGTATTAAACTTTCGTTTTATAGCATGATCGCTATGTTACATACACATATATAAAAACTAAGAATTATAGAAACATAAATTGAATTCGAATAATTATGTTTTTTTCTTGTTTAAACTCTACTTGTGATAGATACTCTTGATAATCACAATAGATTGCGGCTTGATTGTACAGTTTTCTCGAGATTAATGTAAACAAAAAACCAAAACTGGTATCCTAAGAAATTTACAATAAAACCTTATAATTCGTTCCGCTCTGAAGTACCTTTTACAGGTTATTGCCAGAATTTGATTTACTAATTCGATCACCAATTTATTGAGATACTAGGCTAGTCTTCTTCGATAAATTTCAACAGTATACTTTAATTCATTTATACCCGTGCTCATCTGTAAGGCTTCGTGGATTTAAAATAATATACACAAAAGGGAATTTTAAATAATTATCGCAACCGAGTAATTGTCGAACCACCGTTTGACCTCAAAGTTCGTTATTTTATTAAAAGGGACGAATGTATTTCTAAAGACTCGTTGATAAAGTATTCACGGAGGGCTCAGAAGCCAGTTCCCTGTTCCCGTATTGTATCGTTGCTACAGAGTTAATGACGTAACAGCGTTCTCGTTTTTTTAAAGGCTTTTGTTGAAATTGGCAACTTTTTCGTGCGTTTTCCACGTCTAATTGCGATTTTTGTTGTTGATTTTCATTTATTTTGAACAATGGTTCCGAAAACAAAGGCCCTTTAATCGTACATAATATTAATTGTGTTTCAAAACACAAAAAATAAATAAGAATAAATACCTTCGCGGTTACTCATCAGTTCATAATAAATACTAGCCAATTTAACATTTAAAATTACAAAAAATAATCTTTAGATCGACCACGAGTGAGTACTCGTAATAATAAGCGCATACAGAATTATTTACATTTCAAATGTCAAAATCAGAAGGATGTTTGAATCGACTTTTACGGATTAGGAAAATTAACCGAAAAAAACGACTTTTGCGGATTGTTATTATACTCATATCAATAACATCCAATGTCGACTTAAACTTAAACGTGTTCCTACAAGCTTCACCCGCTCCATCAAATAATATTGGCGTGAAAACATGCTTATTACAGTATGTATTCTAATACACTAGAATTATTAAACATGAAAAAAAATAATTACAAACTCATTTTAAGTGAAAATGTTGGCTTTCTTGTTTTTTTTTTCAATGGCCGCCGGTAACTGCTTCACACAGCTAGTCATTGGCCATTTTTTATTGCTGAATGTACGAAATACGAGGTCACAGCTCTTTTGTTAATAATCATTACATAAGTACTCTGTAAGTACCTTGTACTAAGAACCTTAAGAACTATACTAATATCGTAGAACTCATACCTCAACGAGGGGGGCGGCACTTACGCTGTAGATGCGCTCCGGTAACCACTGAACACCAGGTGGGCCGTGAGCTCGTCCACCCAGCTAAGCAATAAAAAAAAAAGTACCATCAATGATTCCCCTAAATGCTTATCTAAGCCAACTAAACAACTAATTCTATAATATAGACGAGAAACCGCAACTGTCAATGCAAATTTTCCCATTGCCTTATTAATAAGCACCCTATATACAACTAGCAGAAAAAATATAAATATACTGAGACATGCCCATCCACAAGCTGCGTGTTAAATAAAAATACGTGATGGGAAAATTATTACTTTGTATGTTTCACTTTACTGTGTACATACAATAGAGACTTTCGTAGCCAATATTGTAGCTTCGTAGCAGTCGTCTGAGAATAATCTCGGCTGTTTTCTCGTAGCGATTTCACTTGGATGTCGTAAAACTAAATGAGCCGCATAATTTTGTTTTTCATGTTAAATAAATATTCATTTTTATGTAATAAATTTGTTGTAACTTTATAGTAATACTATTGTAATAATATAACTAGAATACATATTAGTTATAAAAATTATGTAGATATTTCCTACGGGTTAAGATTTCTGGTTTTTTAGGATTAATGCTATGAAATTTAAAAAAAATGCTTACGAATTTTCTGTCATCGACCAAAATATTTATAACCTTTTTAAAATAAGGTAAGAAAGCAATACTCATTGGATTTTGTTTATTTTTACGGCAATTGTTATGTGACCACAAAGAAGAATAGCTAATAGTAAAATTCCTATTATGAATAAAAAAACGTAAAAGTAATAGGTTGGGGGAAAAGTCTTTTCGAATTATAGTATGCATGAACTTGTAATAAAATCTCTTTGGCTATACTATTTGTATCTGGCTGGTTTTGGTATAATTAAATTAAAATTTAAAAAAAGATAATTCCAAATTCAAATTAGGAAAATATGTGATTTTTATTTATTTTTCGTACTGTCAAGATGAGTGAATCTAATGAAGAAATTCGATACATTTTAAAATTTTACTACAAAAAAGGTATAAATGCAACGCAAGCCGCGAAAAAAAATGCGAATAATCTTTTTCCCCAACCTATTATTAAGCATAATGTAAACTAGACGATATATCCTATGCAGCATGTTTATATATAATTATAATGTTATGATAGGGTAACGGTAAAGGTGTTGAAGAGGGTGGCGAGGAGCCCCTGAGTCGACCCAGCCTGTTGCGCGTCCCTTCACTATCCGCAGCCGATCTTGAGGTAAAACACACCCACCCTAATAAAATAACGGCTATCTCTAAGTTATAACACGCTCAGTCAATGTTTGATTGATGTAACAAGTAGACGCACTTTTAAAACTTCAATAAGTTACAGTCTATTTTTAAAAGACACAATCAGTCAATGTAATAAAATGAAACTAGAACTTTTCCTAAGCCAAAACAGAATATCGATGAAATTCCTTGACGGATACATAAACAGCAATCTGTCGATTTTAAGGACACAAATGTCTTATAATTCCTAATTTTAGTCTGTAACTTATCGGTGTCAATGTAATAAAATGAAATTAGACCCTAGCAAACGATTCCCTAAGTCAAAACAGAATATAGATGAAATTCCTTGACGGATACATAAACAGCAGTCTGTCGATTTTAAGGACACAAATGTCTTATAATTCCTAATTTTAGTCTGTAACTTATCGGTGTCAATGTAATAAAATGAAATTAGACCCTAGCAAACGATTCGCTAAGCCAAAACAGAATATCGATGAAATTCCTTGACGGATACATAAACAGCAGTCTGTCGATTTTAAGGACATAAATGTCTTATATGTCTTAATTTAGCTACAAATCAATTGTTTTTGAAAACAGAACGCTTCAAATCTCTCGCTGCTGTCACCTCCATCGCTAATAAGAAGAAGATCGTCGGTGATGTTTAGCGACACAGTGTTACTGCACACGCCGAACGCGCAGCACGTGGCTCATCCGCATAACGTATGCTCTTCCGAGAAGATGACTCAAACAGGTAACATTTTAATAGCCATGAAATGTTTTACGATCATGCTTAACTACAAAAATAGCATTTACGAAAATTTCAATAACTATTATCCTCATTCAGTGCTATCAGAAGTATTAAGTCATCCATGCATATACATAATTTATTCACACGATTTAATTTTTATGTTATTCCCAATAAGCAACAGAAACAGTGATCCAAAAAGATAACATGAAAATTCAATGAAAAGCTCTTTCCATATTTTATCTTTTTCTCTACAATTAAACCAGCGCTATAATGTTCCCTACACTGACTTACGATTTAACAAATGAAATAAAATATTTATAGATTCATTGTGTCAACGTGACTGGCTAAAGAGCCAAAGTGGTGAGTCTAGACGGTAGACCCCTAGACCTTTCTAGACATATTCTATTAGCAATGTAATCTGATTTTCGCCTTTCACTATCCCTTCAGATACTTTGGATTGTACTCAACGATATCCATTTCTTCTTTACTAAATTTTCGCTCTTTAGTCTGATCTTCTTGAACATGAATTTAGGTTTATTTTGTTATGAATTTAGGAAGCATTTTCGTGACTTCTTCGCTATTTTTACAGTTTAACCAAATTATTTATTTATGTTATAATCGTTATGTTCCAGTGTGAACTGTGAGCTCGTTCAGTTAACTAAGTAAAAAAGGGAAAAATGACGTTATAAATTTTGCTTCTTAAATTATGTAAAATATTAATTATAAAGAGCAATGTAGTGACATTAATTATATTGGGGTGGTAGAATTTGACCTGCCAGCAGGAGACACAGCTGAAGAACGAGCAGCCGCAGGTGGTACTATGTCCTGCCAAGAACTACTTGCTTTGTCTGGAGCATTGTCAGCTGCTTTACCTACTGGACAAGTAGCACTGGATTCCTTCTTCGAAGAACTTACAAAGGGAATCAGTAAGAGGGCCGGTGAAGATAAAGCAGACACTAAAGTAAGTATTGAAAATATACTACTATAAAATATCTAAATAAAATATATAAATTGAAGAACACGAAGAATCATAGTAAGATGTATATTTTACACAAGTGCCATAGTTAGTTAAGTACGATAATTAATTGAAATATATTTTAAATCTTCTACAGACTATAGAAATTGAAGACTTTTCTTGCTGTGTTGATCTATTGATGGCCGAAGCTGCAGCTAAGGAAACTAGAAAAGGCAGATTGAGAAACGCATGCTGCAAGTTCTGGAAAAGTTTTTCCAATTTTTTTTCTGATAAACGAAAACGTATAAAGGAAATTGCCGATCATAAATACTTTCAACAAGGTACTATAACTTAAAAAAATAAGGAAATTATTTTGTATAATAATTTCGTCGTACACAAAAACCTTTCTTTCCCGAAAATAGTGCTTGGACATCCCATTGAATGAAATTCTTGATATACCTTTATAATTTAGGTTTACATATGTATTATAAAAACTCATCAATTCATAATTATCAAATATCATATTACAACGATTGCAATATTTTTTTTAATTATGACAAATGTTTCTATATTTCTTTTCCTTATAGAAATTCTCATTTGTAATCTGTATAGAAATCTTCAAGAATTTGATCTCCAAATAATTTTGTTCTCATCTTTATACAATCAAAAAATCTTCTACATCAGAACTTTTCACGTAAAACTATCAAGTACACTATTTGACCTTTCCCCTAAATCCGATCACAATCACGATTGTAACGTAGCGCTCCCAAATTGCAGGTATTCTGTTAGCTATACTGATCAATACGCTATCAATGGGCATTGAGTACCACAATCAACCCGAGGAGCTCACTGTAATAGTCGAGATCAGTAACGTTGTGTTCTCGGCCATATTCGCTATAGAAATGGTTTTCAAGATCATTTCTGAGGGCCCTTTTAAATATATCTCCAACGGATTCAACGTATTCGATGGGATAATTGTAATTCTCAGGTAAGTATGTGTTGAAAGTCTTATAACCATTTTCAACTCATCTTTTTATTTCTTTTGTCAAACAACAACAATATTTCGATGAAAAAGCTGCTGTTAATTCGACACTATCTAGGTAACTTCGAAAATTTTCGGCAGTAATTTCACCTTTCATAGACTATTAGATATATCTAAACAAACTTGAGAACTTCAATCTTGTCGAGTTATGGCCTGGAATTTTAATAAGACATCCGCAGTCATTTTTTCATAATCTATGAGTAAACGTTCTGAATATGTAATCGTTTTAATATTTTCTTGTTCGCGAGGAAACTCCTGTTCCGTTACGAGCCTATTGAGAGTAGTTTACAAACGTTGCCGTATCAAATATTTACATAAAATACTACTTGAGAAACCACTTAATCCAGCTGAATCGTGACTTTATTAAGTAATATTTTATATTACTATAATAACGGGCCTAGATTCTATTGTCATCGATTAACTGAATAAAACAAAATTTATTAGTTATTAAGACAATTAATAAGCCTTTTACTGTACGTTGATGCTAATAGCCTGTGGAAACTTGTATGCACTTCCAATTACTTACTAGACGAAGTATAAATGTCAATCGTGTGAAATCTAAAATTAATAGAGAAGGAAAAAAAATTAGGATATCAAATACAATTAAAAAACATTTTTTTTATTGCTTATATGGGTGAACGAGCTCACAGCCCAACTGATGTTAAGTGGTTACTGGAGCCCATAAACATCTACGACGTAAATGCGCCACCCACCTTGAGATATAAGCTCTAAGGTCTCAAGTATAGTTACAACGGCTGCCCCACCCTTCAAACCGAAACGCATTACTGCTTCACGGTAGAAATAGGCAGGGTTGTAGTACCTACCCGCGCGGATTCACAAGCGGTCCTACCAACAGTGAAAATTACGGACCTTTGCAATTTCATCTGGTCCATGCGTCAGATTGTTTATATGTTTTTCGTCAAGTTGTCCGTGTAACCGTCAACTTTTACTCAAAAGCTATTGGTAGGTATTAGGTATAGAATTTGGAAACCCAAAACATATTAATAGTGTTACATGTAGTATATGTAATCATTGTCGACCAACGCCGGAAGATTTTTTTTTAAAAAAACTGTATCTAAATAAAAATGTTTGTTTTCTATGCATAAAAAACTATTCACCCGACTATCATAAGACTTGGTATAGTTATTGTGGGCACTTCAAGGATAGTTGATGTCAAAATACCAACATTATAAGAAAGGTGACATGCGAATACTTTCAAGAAATCGAGGGTTTTTATGGAAATGAGTAATGTCACAGCTGAGCGTGCCGGGGTTTCAATGGTTAATATTTCCAACAGTGCGTTCGAGCTAGCACAGAGCTACGGTAACGAAAAGGACTTGGCAGGAAGTTCTGGTCTTTCGGTGCTTCGGACATTTCGACTCTTGCGTATATTAAAACTGGTACGCTTCATGCCGAACTTGAGGAGACAGCTTTTTGTAATGCTGAGGACAATGGACAACGTTGCAGTATTTTTCTCCTTGCTTGTTCTATTCATCTTTATATTCAGGTAAATATGTTTTCGAATTGTATATTAGGGCAATGGATATTATGCTGACAGATTAAAAAAATGAATATAAAGTGTGAAATCATAAAAATGCAAATAGGAGCCTTGTATTATTTAGGTACTTTTATTTTACCGAAAAGTATTGTATAATTTGATTTTTAATTATGATTAGTAAATATTCTTCTAAATCATTTTAGTTTTAAATTTTAATAAAAAGAAAGTAAATAATGATTAAATTAATTTGTAAATTAAATTAAAACAATTTTTTTGTTCATTATTATGTTCTTACTATGATTTATTAAACCAAATCTAAAAATTTTAAATTTTTAAACTGACCTTGAAATTCCTATATCTATTCCCTGTTACAAAACTAGATCCTTAATGTTGTCTGTGTTTCATGTGTTATGTAGCTACTATTATACTATACTAGATCACAATCCCAAGCAATCACCCCGATTGCTGAATTCGATCTTTCATTTTTCCGTAGCAAAAGAAGAGTAATTCGAACGTTCATAAAAAATATATATGAAATTCCGAATATTTCTACTTAACTGTCACACCCGCATCCCTTAACCTGTGCACTAACTGTGAGTGAGCTATCCTACTTTCTTTCTTATCCTCATACGTCTGAACCATCTCTGTCTTTGACATTCACTATACACAGCCACTTTCCACACTCTTTACAACTTTACCTCTTGTATTTATAATATTTTTACATCTTTTTTCAATCATCATTGTCACATCACGCTTTCGTGCTTATTGTGTACTTCAGTTTGTTCACATCTCGCACCAAATCATTCACATTAGCCTCTCTTGACATATGTATTTACTCTTTATGTATTATATATCCTCCCGTTGTGTGTGGTAAGGATTGTGAAGAAACCGTATTATCTAATCGTATATTGCGTGATAACGTTCAGCATCCTCGGTATGAACCTCTTCGGGTGCAAATTCTGCGAGAAAGACCAGCATGGCGAACAAGTGTGCGACCGAAAAAACTTTGATACGCTCTTGTGGGCCTTTGTCACGGTGTTTCAGGTATTAAAACATTTTCAATTAAGAAACCTAACAGACAATCCAGAAACAGACTGAACTTGCAACATTACTTAACGCTTACAAAACGGGTGCCCGTCAGCGGTCAACACTCTCATGACAGTTTGACAATCCCAATAACAGAAGACTGTGGTTGTGACGGCTAATCGACTAACCACGCGAGTACACAGACAACAGTCCACTTTGCTGCAAGACGTGCCTTAACCAAGCCTGCAACTACCGGGGGTCGTGTTCCTACAGTCCCCGTTGCAAACACGGCGCTTGCAGCATCGTGCGTTGTCAAATAAGCGTTCAGTTGCGTAACCGCTACTCTAGTCCCCGCGTAGTGAGTTAGAAGCATCGTAACAGATCGTTCCAAATACCATCTAGTGTCACGTTCACGTTGTCATGCCGTTTCGTGCAGTATCCCATCAGAAGTTGTCGAGAGCACATTAATTAGTCCAGAGAGCTTGGTTGAGTAGTAGGTTAGCTTGAGGTCGTTTGGAGCCGAGTTTCGGGTTTATCTATTCGTCAGTTCCTGTGTCCCCATAAACTACAACCGCACTCAGTTCAAACAGGATCTACCACTTTGCATGCCGCTTCTTTTATTCAGGATTCTTATATGAAATTACTAGATCAAGGTCACCTTTCATCTTATTGTCTATTGTAATATATGTATATACATATGTATATATATAAGAAAAATAATTTAAATAAAGATCTACTAGTTTCGTAACAACCCCGAGCATCCTTTTATTAATCTTTACTTACAATCTTAACTTTCAAATACTTTCCCCTTTCTAAAATCTCTCTACTTCTTATTAATTAAAAAAATATTAAAACGATTCACTCATCTAATTTTCCTTTCTATGATTTCATCTGCATTTTCAGGATGAATTTATTTATTTTGAAATTAATTAATGCATTATTAAAATGAATGATGACGAAAAGTTTTATTTAAATAAATTTGATTGCACTTTTCTTTCGCCTGTTTCGTGAAAATTATGTTTTGACGCATTTACATATACATACCTTTGTTCAGAATAATTTTATAATTGAGGCGTTTTATTTAAATATGAATGAATACTCATGTTTAAATTAAGTTTATCGAGAAATTTGCACTTACATAACACGAAGTCAATTAAAAGTACCTTCGTTACTTAGAATTAACAAAACCGTTGGTGGTAGCGTTCCAACGGCGATAACACTGCTTAACCACGTAGCCCACGATGAATAATTACTTCATTACCACCAGTATGTAAATAAATAAATTAGCGTAGAACTAATAATGGTTTAATTATTTGGAAAGTCATAAAGTACATAAATATTCCTAACACACATTTTCCGTATGTGCACCAAATCAAGTAATAAACATCCCGATGAATTATTCTCGAATAATAATACATGTTTATTTTTACGCATTGTTTAATAAAATAAAATCTAACGATACTTACAAAGAGCTGATAGGTGGCATCAATTGTTATGAGCCGTGTTACAATAGCGTTGAGAGTTGAGAGCTTGCAGTGTTACCGTCGTGATGCTACAGGGCCGAGATCCTGTCAGTCGCGGTTATGCGCATAGCATTTCCTTTTTCTTTCATTTTTCCATCGGGCCCGCGACCTGCAGTATACTGGGCATGTATCTATTCGGTGGTAAGTTTTGCAAGTACGTCGAGGACAATGGCGCCGAGCGTGATTGCACCTGCCCCGAGATTGTTTCGCATCATCCCAAGTGTGAATGCGACAGGAAACATTTTAATAACATCCTTTGGGCGACGGTCACCGTTTTCCAGGTAAGCCTCGCGCGACCCTTGCTACATTAGGAGTTATGTCGGTTTATTTGCGATCCCGTTTAAGTATGTCCTATAGGATAGCGAACGCGTCTTTCTCGTAACCACCAATCTATATTTGCGGAGCTTTTGAGTTGTTTGTCTTATTCAACAACTTTGTTTGTTGGAAAAGATGAATCTAAGATGAGGTTAAATCCCTTACTTGATTGTGAATCGTTGGAATTGGCACAAGCGAGAGATACGCCGTGATAGTTTTGTTTGATTAGTCTGAATGTATTGCATCGTATCGCGCTGTAGCTAGTTGCATCTTGCTTTAGTAGCGAATAGTGGCGTTAGTACGAAGTGCTGGACCCCTACGCTTGTGTACTCAAATCGCCGTCTGTGTTCCCTTCCATGTATTAGTACACACTAACACAACACAACACTTACTAACACAAACACGCTGATTACTAACAAATGTTTCGTTTTTTTTTTTGTTTTTTTGTTTTTATTGTTAATTTTTTTTTTACATTGAGTTTACTTAACAATTATTACAAACACCAAGAGGCACGACTTGAACACAATATGACAGCACACCTTGCTTATTTTGATTTATTAAAGATAATTTAATATTTGGAAGATATTTGATGTGGTAGAAAGACTTACACTCCCGAGCGAAGGTCCTTATTTTGATATGAACCTTTCAGGTATTAACTCAAGAAGACTGGAACGTTGTACTGTTCAACGGAATGGAGAAAACAAGTCACTGGGCCGCTTTATATTTCGTTGCGCTTATGACTTTCGGGAATTACGTACTGTTTAATTTATTGGTAGCTATACTGGTTGAAGGATTCAGTTCGGAGGTAGGTTTGATTCGCATGTAAACACTTTAGACCGTGATTAATCCGTGAATAAACTACCACGAGTCATTGAAATATTTTAGCGAAATGAGAGAAGGGAACGTGAGCAACGCGAACTAGCAAAGTCTAAATTATCAAGTGAATGTTTCTCTGAAAACAATGAGTTACAATACGATGAGTCTAATTCGGCATCGCATTCCAGCGATAGTTTCTCCCAGGTACATACTAATTATTATTTTCAAGTACTGTACATCAGCTTGTTAACTGCTATTTATACGATTATTAATAACGTACGGCCAAAAGTGAACATCAGAAATATATTTCATTAGGATACGTAGTGAAACACTAGTCTTCAACTAATAAATCATTTAGAGAATAACACTTTGTATTAACTAACATAACCATGACCACAACTGTAACCTTNCCAGGTACATACTAATTATTATTTTCAAGTACTGTACATCAGCTTGTTAACTGCTATTTATACGATTATTAATAACGTACGGCCAAAAGTGAACATCAGAAATATATTTCATTAGGATACGTAGTGAAACACTAGTCTTCAACTAATAAATCATTTAGAGAATAACACTTTGTATTAACTAACATAACCATGACCACAACTGTAACCTTTTATATAGAATGAAATAAAGAACTATTGGAGGTCCGCCGATGACGTTAGAAAAGCCAAAGACGACGTAAATGGCCACAAGGATAAAGCGATGAAAACTAAACGTAAATCTAAATCTTCACACCATCCGACCCTGTGCAAGGACTGCGCCCAATCAAACAAATGCAATATACAAAAGGTAAGACCTGAGACCCAAAGCTGCTACATGATGGTATACCGAAATGTATCATAGCAATAAAAAATGTATCATAACATTCATCTTATATTAAGTAGTTTAAAACTATCCATTTTGACTAGGAATCAAAGATGCTAGCAAGCAATGCAGTAGTAGCTGAATCCGCAGCAGTTCCAATGATAACTCACACTGCAGCTACACCACAAGACTCACCGTCAACAACCTTGGAACCGGGAGCTTCGTTTAGAGATTTCAATATGACTTTGAGTCTGGAGCGATCATCCATGCTCTCTAGTTTAGATTCAATCGATCGAACATCTGTGAGTATTGGATTAAATCCGATTGTTTTTTAACCATCAAAAAGCAGGAGGGTCAAGTTTTATGCGATAAAATTATTTTCTTAATTTAAATATACATAGCTTACTAAAGTTTTTAGAAAGCTCAAATCGTAATTTTGTAAAAAAATCTCACCAATCTTATTTTTTCTAGAAGTATCACATGTCTATAAGTATCAATATCAATACATAAAACGGGAACAACATTTTCAATTCACTTCAAATATCGTTCTAATTACAATGGTCGTAGTCACATATTCCATGTGTAAATTTAGTTTTATTTTAGCAAAAGTCTCCTACTAATATTATAAAACTAGCGACCCGCCCTCGCTTCGCTTCGGAAACATTAAAATACACATGAAACCAAAAAAATAAAATAAAATAAAAATTAAAAAAGTAGCCTATGTTCATCAGGGACAATGTCGGCTTCTAATGGAAAAAGAATTTTTCAAATCGGTCCAGTAGTTTCGGAGCCTATTCGAAACAAACAAACAAACAAATCTTTCCTCTTTATAATATTAGTATAGACTTATAACATCCAATAGCACCGAACCAATTTCGAACACAAAAAGGCAAAAAAAATACAAAATCCGCAAGAGCTTTATTTTTAAGAGTGTAATTTCTTACTGTATTTTTTCGTTGCCTATGAAAAATAAAGAATGATAAAACTCATTCATAAATCAACTTATATAAAATACAAAATATTCGAACATTTGAATACTATTGTTTCTTACTATCAATTTCAATCAAATAAGACCATAAGTAAAAGTTATCGAAACTGCTAGTTTTGGATCATGATTCTAATACAATGTCATGAGCCGTTATGAGAGTATCAAAGTTTTTCTATTACATATTTATAAACATGCCTATCAATATACTGGCCCGACCAACTTTCCGCAATCAGAAACCAATAGGAAGTTTTTTGATTCTTATATATCATCTTTATTACATCATGAGAAGAAAAATATATAATTGATTTCAAGAGAGCAAAATCTACTATTGTTCATTCTCAATTGATAATAAAATATATTATTTTTAGATATTCATTTACACAGTTAATATTTTCAAACGTATTAAGACTGCAGTCAGTCAATCAGTCAATTACTGGTGGTAGGACCTCTTGAGTCCGCGCGGGTAGGGTGGGGCAGCTATTGTAACTATACTTGAGACCTTAGAACTTATATCTGAAGGTAGGGGGCCCATTTACGTCGTAGATGTCTATGGGCTCCAGTAACCACTTAACACCAGGTGGGCTGTCCACCCATCTAGGCAATAAAAAAAATCAGATTGATGACCCTAACCTTGACATTTATTGAGCAGTAAGGTAAAATCGAAATTGGTACAAATATATAAATGATTTCAGTGCGCAAGTATTCCCGGACTACTCAAACCACCGAATAGCTACACGCTCACACTGCATTCAGCTCAGGCTCAACTCGGTGCTGAGAAAGCAAGACTTCCTCCGTTAACACTGGCGCCTCCTCCATTAACCCTCGCTCTTCCACCGCTCCGGACCTCTTCACCGAGTCCCACAACTCCAACCACACCAAAATCAATGCCGTCTCCAGTATTACCAGAAAAAAATCTACAGGTCACAATAGCCAAAGATGAGAATTGCTTGATCACGAGTGACAAATCTAGTCTACTGAGTTCACAAAAGTAAGTTTCATTATTTATTTTTTTCAACAATTTATTTTACGTTTACAATAAGAACTGATTTTATTCGATAACTAAATAATACAAAGTTTCAAAAAAAAGAAGGAAAAAGAATTTCAACAAAATAAAAGGAGTATTAATGTAGTCGAAGTCAACCAAATATGCTTCTCAAAAACTACTGGTCCGATATTAATAAAATTGAAATTGGACCAAAGGAGAACCACTATTCTTTCAATAAAAAAAAATTATGTTTAGATTCACATAGAAAAAAATTCTAATGAATAAAAAAAGGCGAATAAAAAACCTCCTCCATTTTTTAAGTCCCTTAAAAGCAACCTCAAGCAAAATTAAATTTGCAGGAATATAAGTATAGTTAGTACTACAGCCAACGGTGAGGACAAATGCAGAGTACAAAGAGGATATAGCTGGCGTCTTTCCAAACCAAGTCTGAGAAGGAAACCGAAACAGAGGACCGGATCTGATTCAGATGCGATTGTCTTGAACAATGGGAGAGACCACGCTGTTTGTAACGGTAAGCTACCAGCGCGCAAGCTAAATTCGTCAAACTTTCTAACATCATTGCGTCTAAAACTTTTTATTTGTTGCAAAATTTACAAAAATACACATTAAAACTTAATAGATTGCTTGCGAACGTAGTTGTAATATTTAAATGCTGTATTGATAGAAATCATCACGTAAGCGGATCGGAATCCTAATAAGATGTGACTACACGAATACGAAAACTGTAAAGTATTTGAAACGTAAAATAAACAAAAATAAACGGGAAATTAAACCGTAAAAGTGGTTTAAATTCGAAATTTAGATTTATTATAACATCTCAGCTATAGCTATTATATGCGGAATGCTAAGAATGATCAACTGTCAAATAATTTTCCCAAATGTGATAAGCAATAAAGAAAATAAAAGTTAACATAATGAGCATATATATGAAAGCTATAACCAGCTTTGGTTTTGCAGTAGACGAGTAAAAATCTCCTTAATTCCCATTTTTATTTTGCTTTACGACTCTTCATTTGGAAAACGTTCTGTGCAAATAATTTCAGACATCCAAAAATGTGTTATATGTACTCTGATCTTGCTATTTCTGCATAATTTTCAGTTAATATAACTAATTTAATATGGTTAATGCTAAAAAACACCAAACATTGGATACCTTTGTAATGAATTATTCGTAGAAAATTATATTATAGAAAATTAAAACTATAAAATTATAATACTAATGACCTAAAAAATGTACAATTCTTTCCCAGGTCATTCATTTCAAATGCGCGATTTGATCATTTTGTTTTTTTACACTGTGTTTTGTGGTAGAATGGGTAGGGTCTAATTCGTATCTAGTCTAATTTTTGCCGCAAAGGAGCATTGCATCCCGGCTTAAAAAGTGGGACAGTCATTATTCTATACAACAGGGACTTAAACCTTTAGTCTCTAGGTGCGTGGTGACACGGTGATGCAATAACCACTTTACACGAGATGGATCGTGAGCTCGAGAAAACTTACTAAGAAAAAATAATGATCTACTTTACAATTTTCTTATCCAAGCCTTCTCCGCTATAGGATCAGGTCTTAGGAAGAACGAGCTGCTTCTGTCCTCATCGATAGTGATCAAGAATGACACCCAGTCGGAATACCCAAACAACCGATCTCGTTCACAACTTCCCGCGCCCAGAGTATTATCTGCACCAGCCATGAAAGTATCTGCACAAAACGCTCCCTTATTACCTGATGTAAGTATTTCAATAGCCATACTATTCCATTGAGAAACAAGCTCATAACGTTTCCTATCACAAAAGGGTAATTTCATACCCAAAAAAAACATTTTCTACCCAAAACGACAGTTCCTACCGAGCGGGTTGTGAGTCGATAGACGGATTGCTTAGTGCAGGACAGACTTTGATTGCAGGAGAGATTAAATTTTTTCCTATTCGCTAAAACGCACTGCTGATAGAAAAATATAATACATACTCATGATATTCATGATGTGATATCATCAAATCGCATAATGGTGTATCTCCTCCTGCTCTCATCGTACTCCCCAAATTCGAGGATTGTGTCCAAATCCATCCATGAATTTCGCCCTCACAGAGCTATACCATCTTTGACTACTCGGAGGGCACCGTAGACAGTAGAATCAAGGATGGTGCGAATCTGGTCAGACCAACGCGTTGGATTGCACCCTCGCGATCTTTTTCTTCCACTTTCCAGTAATAACCAGTTCTTCAATATTATTTTCGTCTTTCCTGGCAGTGTTTCTGAAGTAGTTTAGGATTCGCTTGAGACAGAAAGCCTTGTTTTGATTTTGAGCTTCGTAAATATAGATATCTGTTCAGGTATAAATCTGATCAGTAGTACCTACAAACAATGTGTAGAAGGCCATTTTCGAAGCTTCAAAGAAAATAAATTCCTATCTACAGAAAATAACATTAATTCAGGTCGTCATATTTAAGTAATTGCCGCGTATCTCAATGGACCGTGCACTGTCTGCTGACCTGTCTTCGTTTTTCAGAACGCTCAAATACATCGAGCAGCTTGCTTTTTCGTCTGGTACGATCGTATTGTAAGCAAACCCATCACATTTACTGCATACAAAAATATTAATAATGTTTAAGATTTTTGTGCACTCGTTTATTTGTATATTCGTGCTCTATGCGTTGACACAGTAACAAAAAAGAAACAGTGGCGCGCGAGTGGCTCCAACAAAATTTCACATAGACGTCATAGTGAAGCACTGCCGAAATTCACTAGTAGTAGTTATATAAAATATGCAATCCAGTCTTCTTGGTCCAGTACATTCGGATGTTTTTTTTTCTTACCTAAGCAGATAGATAGCCTTGAGAGGCTATGTCAGCGTAACCTAACAAGTAGATGAGCTCACCTGACGAATTCGGATGAGGAACACGGTGATACAGCTCGCACTACAAGCATTTTAAATATTTGTATGAAGTCCCTTTTATAATGCTCACGTCATAAAATTACTTTATTTTTGTCAGGTTTCATGGAAGGCTCCGGAAGCAGGCTTTTCCTCGGATTCGACTGTACGACTTGACGCGGTTAAACCACACCGACTATCACTAACCAATGACTACATCACCGGTAGGTACCAGGATCTAAGATGATGTTTTTCTCTATTTAAAAACATTTACAAAGTGAAGGAAGGATATCAAAAAATTATTATTATATTCATACGTAACTACATTATGAAAATAAAAACTTAAAGAATGAGGCATTAGCACTAAAAATGCTAAAGACAGATTGCTCTAATTACATAGTGAAAATACAGGGGAAAACAAGAAAAGGCATAATAGTGCCTATGACGCGTCTTCAAACAAAAACTACTCTTGTAGTCTTAATAATAAGATTAAACGACTCTAGTGCCTATGCTTCGCACACAGAAATTACTTGAACGGAAAACTGGTTCTATTAATTTTTCCATGCACCTGTTTACAGAATTAGCTTTAGTTTATGTAAACTGTTTATTTCAATAAACTCTAATAACTGTATCTAGTAACAACAGTGTCGGAAGTGAAATCTAGCAACTTGACTCCGCCTCCTGCGACAATATCCCGAGTTCCGTCGTTACCGCGGACTCCGAGGAACGAAGTATCCACGCTACCGACAAGACCTAATAATCAACCCCTTCCACTCATTAAGCAGATTAATGAAGAGGTACGTTAGACTGTAACATAAAATAATTCTACTACACTTGCGTCCATAATAAAGTATTCTCGTTAACGTAACGTAACTTTTCTTTCCTTTTCTTTACTACTTACTCTTTTCTTTTCTCTTCAATGTATGTATACTAATTTGTAGAGCTAATTAGTTTGTTAAATAAAGACTTTTATTTATTTTATGAATTTAACACTCTTTAGGGTAGCTGGTGGAAAAATCGCATAGACAAACCTTTGGTTCAAAGATATTTAAGGATGTCCTACTAGAATAAATTTCCGTAGGTCTCCACGAAAGGATTTTGTCAGATCGTAACTTACAATACCATAGTCGGTGTAAACGACAAACTCTATGGTATTTTTAGTGACAGCCCTAACTCAGTGTCCTCTATAAGAAAACCTACAAAGTAATATGCATTTAAGCCACAAATCCTCGAATCAATTCTCATGAACCTAATTAAAACTACTTTTGCGGCTTAATTTTCGTTTCATTATTACCATTTTATTATTTCCAACCTTTTAGAATACATTATAGTTTTCGTGGTCACGGGCAAAGTGATTAAACACTATAATAAGTTTTAATTTCGTGAAAGACTTGTTAAAACTGGAGAATATAAAAAAAAATCATCATTTCATTTGAAAGATAATATACGAACGAATTTATCTTAAGTAGAACTTAAAACAACGTAAATATTTATTGATATTTAACAATGTTAAAAATAAATAACAGTTTAAAAAAACAAAAAAAAAACGCTTTTAAAGAAACTCCAACAAAAAAAAATAGAAAATAAATTTGAATTAAAAATAGTGTAAGAAAAAATTATTTTATTGTAAAAAGCGTGGGGTGCTCTTCAGGATATTACCAAAACAACCCTTCTATTCATATTTGTTCATAAAATATTTATAACTACTGATACCATGCAACCCACGCTTTTTTTACAATAAAATCATTTTTTCTTACACTATTTTTAATTCAAATTTATTAAAATTTATTTACTATTTTTTAGTTGGATTTTCTATAAAAGCGTATTTCCTTAGTTTTTTTAAACTGTTATTTATTTTTAATTTTTTAGTTGAATTTAAATTTTTTCAGTGGTTTTTTTCTTTTTTTTTTTAAATATTGCATTGTCATCAGTCTTTAATAAGTATACCAAATTTCGAGTTAATCCAACGTTTTGAAGGGGGTCAAAATCATGTTCAAAGTTTCCGTTACAAACATACATACCTACGTCTGAAGCTAATAAAAGGGTATTAATATGACTACCTCAGCCAACCTATTATAACAAATACATTATTACAGGTAACGATAAGCAACAACGTGTGTATCTTTTCATCACGTTTCGACAGAAGACAATTCAGGTTCAAAGATCTCTTCCGGTTCATGGAGCCAACTGGATGCCTCAAAGAGAAAGAACATTACTCTCTTTATATTTTCGCTCCGGAAAACAAGTAAGATTGGCTTTCGCTTTTCATAGAACTAAATTTATTAAACATAATCAAAAATTATACGTTTATAAGATAATTAATATACTCGTAGCGTTGACAGTTGGAAGAAGGGAATAAAGGCAGGATTTGTTCCGTTCTTCCAATTAATCGTTTTTATGGCCGGATGAGTCTATACAAAGTGAATGGTATTTGTTCCTTTCTTCGAACTTACAATTTAGCGCTACGTCCATAGAATACAAAAGTGTAAAAAACTGAATATGCCAAAAAGTGGCGCTTACTCCCTTCTTCCAATTGGTGGTTCAATTAAACGTCATGTATATGTCTAAGGGTGGATTCGACCAAACTTAAATTTAAACTCGAGTAACTATACGAGGAATAACCTATTCCATGATTTTAATCTCGAGTAAATTCATAGTCGTTTTTCCACGTATACTTGCGCTAGGAATAACAATACGCGAATAGCAGAGTGAATGGTGAACAAAAATAAAATCCGGCAAATAAATGTTGTTGTTCAACGGCATAGTGTAAGAGCATACAAATCGTCAACTCGATTTTGCCGTATTTTAGTGTGAAAAAGTAGCTGTTGTGTAAGATATCCAGCTGTCAAACGTATTATTTTTATTTCTTGTTTGTTTGAGGGAATTGTCAAGTTTTGTCGTGTGGTTTTATCTTTTTTCGTTTAAACGTTGCATTCAGACTATTAATAATCATTTAGTGCATTGCGTTGACTTGAAATTAAAACAGAATAAATATTTATGAAATGACAGAAATCAGATGTTGGACTGACAGACGCCATTACTTTATTCTAGGAATAGCTCCGTTATTCCGTGCGAAACGGCGGTATAGTAACAATTCCCGAATAGGCCCACTATTCTTAGAATTGTAGTTGGTAAAACGTAAAATTGATTTACTCTCGATTAACTGACGAGTTATTCTAAGAATAAGATTTACTCTTGTTTGGTAGAATCGACCCTAAGAAGTAAAAATTTCAACGTATAGTATTAACTGAAGATTTTTTAATTGATTACACAACCTTAATAAAACGTACTTAACTAATGATCTATGTTCAATTCCTAATGGCCGTGAGCTTATTGGTTGTATCGGTGATATAGACTGCTTCAATATAAGTTTATTTATTACTTACATGATTGAATGAGTTCATATGGTGTTGAGTTTTTTTTGAATGCATTTCTAGGCACACGGCCTACCTGATGGTAAGTGGTTACCGTCGCTCATGGACGTCAGCAATGCCAGCAGAGCCAAACCGCTGCCTATAGCTTAATACTCTCCACAAGCCTCGTTTAAAGAAGGACAGAAGAATATGAAGAAGGACATATGGTGTTGAGTTATAATCAAATCCTATAGATGAATGGCCCCGTGCACTTTAAGTCCACCTACCCTACTTTATAAACTAGGACGCATAACCACTTTACGACAGAAATAGGCAGAATGGTGGTATCTATCAGTGCGAGCTTACAATAAACCGTACCGCTAATAATTACACAAATTATAATTTTATATTTTTATTACACGATGCAACTCCTTTATCGTGGAAATTGGCCGTGAACATATACATTTAAAAAAAAAATTGATATCTGCCTGCGGGATTCGAATTTCGAACACCGGCATAGTTACACCGAGCGGCTTATCTAATTATATAGTCTACGGCGACTTTATTTTCATTTGTACTAGGGTAGTCTGATACTGAGCTTCCCAGAAGATTCCTTTGCCTCCTGTATACCAAGTTTACATCTATATCAACCATGTATACCACGTATACCATATGAGCCACAAATTGATCAGAGTTTTCTTTGAACAGAATGAGACGTTTTTGCGTATGGATAGTGACCCGAAGTTGGTTTGACAATATCGTCTTACTGTTTATCGCATTAAACTGCATCACCCTTGCAATGGAACGCCCGAACATACCGCCTGATTCTAAAGAGAGACAGTTTTTATCAAGTGCCAATTACGTATTCACTGCTGTTTTCGCTATTGAAATGTTCATCAAGGTAAGATTCGAGGTTCAAGAATTAGATTTAAGTAATTAAATACACTTTACAACATAAATAGATGCCTAATAAATCGACGCAAAACAAAACAGTTAACTAATTTTATTATTACATTATTTATTTTAGTTGGTTTCAATATTTCGATTGGATGAGATTGTGCTTGGATTCGACAAATCGGAACAGGAATCAGAGGTTTCTTGTTCGGAAACTGTTAATTGATGTACTATTTATATGCGCATCACTAGGGGCCCTAAAATCTACACCAGGGTCGCAAGTCCACTGGTACTTTTCAAAATCTTCTCTCAGAGACACGATGGATACAGCAATCGCACGATGAATACATGGATTGCTAACATATTCGTCTCATTTGCTAACTTGATTTTTGTTAAGAAATAAGTTTAAGATACTTCTGCATACAAATAGCAGCTTCAAAAGACCAGAACCGCATATATTCGATTCATTTAATTAATTATTGAACAAGCTCTTTTCGGAAGCATAAAAAGTGCTGAATTATCGTATTGATTCATTTCACTGTCCATAACTTTTTCCTACACATAAATACGGTGTTCCTCGCAGGTGGTTGCATCAGGAATGTTTTATGGGCATGAAGCATATTTCACATCAGGATGGAACATAATGGACGGTTCGTTAGTGATCATATCAATCATTGATTTATTAATGTCATTAGTATCAGAATCAAGTCCACGGATTTTCGGAATTCTCAGGGTAAGGAAGATTTAGACGCTATTCAACTTCTAACTATCCTTTATGATTAAATTAATACTGCATTTTTTTTTACCACGTTTTTGATACGAAATAAAAAGTATAATACTTCTTTCTCCGTATTTTCTACAACATTATCATCCAATCCCACTACCATATTTCAAGTTCCCAATTCTAAGATTTATTTTAAAACCAATCACAAAACAACGTAAATTAAATCTGGATCAAATAGATGCCATTTATTTTATTTTCGTTCAGCTTTTAAACTGTTTGGGAGTGCTCATTTTCTCGAGACCCCCAAAAATATTCCTCAGACTTTTATTTATTTTCCTTCGACTAATTGATTCTTAATCCTCATCAGGTATTCAGATTACTCCGTTCTTTAAGGCCGTTAAGGGTAATCAACAGAGCTCCCGGCTTGAAGCTGGTGGTTCAAACGCTACTTTCGTCTTTAAGACCCATCGGAAACATCGTATTGATCTGTTGCACGTTTTTCATAATATTCGGTATTTTAGGAGTCCAGGTAAGTTTTATTTATAAATCCGCACTTTATTAATAATAAGGCAGGTATTGTAATAATAATTTTAGTATTTCTACTATAGGAGGAAGGCTGTTATTACTAGATCCCCAGCGCTCTTCCAATGTTCTTGGGTAGCATTCGTAAAATGACTATTGTAATACGCCAATATCTCAATATCCAATATACTCCGCATTCTCGTAATGATGTCCGTCATCATTATCATCATCATCATCAACACCCCACAGTCGTTCAATGCTGGACATAAGCCTCACCCAATTTACCTCACTCAGCCCGGGCTGAATGTCCATAGGCTGTCCATAACTTTAGCTACTTCGTGTTTCCCAGCCATTTTTTTCCACAAAACACGCAAAAATCTTAACATTGCGATAAAGTTTCAGCTTTATTACCTACAATGTCTTCATTGGTGTATATTGATGTTATCATAATAAAAAGCATATTTCGTATCAAAATATACCGCTTGGAATTACGTGCTCAATTTTACGATATTACTAATCGATCTTAATCATTATATCGCTATCATTTTCAAAGGGAAAGATCGCAAGTTCTATCAATACAACGCTTCGCTTCTTACACTTCATAAACATCTAATTTCATCTTCGCTAATTACAAATACATGAACTAAAATATTACCTGAAATCACGTAATGGGATTCCTTCGAGACACGTCACATTCCGCGGAATGTATAATTATTTCGCTCACACATCACATCGTCTGATCTAATCGTCTCTCGGATTACACGTAGTTGTAAAACAATTACAGAGTAACAAAATTTTCGAACACGATGAACAAGCTTCACTCACAGTTTACATTTCGACATAATTTACCTCACGACATTGCGAATAATTCGAGCAGTATTTATTTACTTTAAGAATAAGATGTCGAAAACAAAATCTTCTTTCACTTCTATTTGTAGTGGTTACGAAGTGTCAAATATTCAGAGATTTGAAGAAACTCTTCTTTTATTATATGTTTTATGTGCACTATACACTATTCCAATTACAAAGTCCCTTTTGACACTTCTTACATCGTAACTCTTCACGTTTCGCTTAATTAGAAATAATAATCAATTTTTGTTCATGGTCGTAAACATCGTTTAAAAAATACACAATCAATCTAAATCATTACTCAATTAATTCACACACACATTAACATAATAGTAACTTCTGTCTCATGAGACTTCGTAATTGGAATAGAGTATAGAGGAAATTGCTAATAAAATCGAAGAGGTTCTAATGAACTTGAGTTTAAGTAGGTTCGTATTTTGAAAGCAAGTAAATTGTAAAGTAAAGTATCTAATATCTTGTTCTATCTCAGATTATTCAATAGCGTAGAAGATAAACATCAAACAGCAAAATACATATTTGAAATTCAAACGTATAATTTCCGTTTGTCAGGGGAAAAGATTTTTTTGAGAAAAATAGAAACAGAAGGTCGTGTAAACCTTATTAATATTATATATGCTACACGACTACATCAAAGTAAATCAAATTCTGACATAAAAATATGAAATGGAATAAATAGAAAGATGATAAATTCGATTTTACAAACAAAAAAAAACATGGTCACTAACAAAATACACTTTTCAGCTGTTCAAAGGAGCGTTCTTCTATTGCGAAGGCGCGAATATAAAGAACGTTAAGAACAAAACCGACTGTCTGGCCATTGAAGGAAATGTGTGGGTCAATAGGAAGTACAATTTCGATGATCTTGGCAAAGCTTTGATGTCATTGTTCGTATTGAGCTCAAGGGACGGTTGGGTGAACATAATGTATACTGGCCTTGACGCTGTTGGTGTTGATCAACAGGTAATTATAAAAACTTAAGAATTACATACAACTTGAAGCTAAATTTAAATAATTAAAACAGAATATATAAAATGCGGTATTTCCTGAAGTGCGCAAGCATAGTTGTCGCAACATTATGAGTTCGTCCGGAACTGTCATCTTGACTATCTTTGCCGCGGAACAGTCATGACTTTATATACATAATACAGCAGTTACACATAATAATTAAGTCTTCGACCTCATATCTCGATGTAGTTGATGACATTCACAATATCTATCGGCTCCATCTAGCCATTTAAGTGGACCGCAACAAACTCTTATAAAACTCATATAAAGCATATAAACTACTAGTGACCCGCCCTCGCTTCTGTTCGGAAACTGTTATTTATTATTGATTTTTCCACTATTTAATGGATGTTATTATACACACAAACCTTCGTCTTCAATCACTCTATCTATTAAAAAAAACTGCATCAAAATCCGTTGCGTAGTTTTAAAGATTTAAGCATACATAGGGATATAGGGACAGACAAAGCGACTTTGTTTTATACTATGTAGGGATGCTATAACAGTAATATTTATTCCATGAATTTTATTTTCTTCAAACAGCCAATAGTAAACTACTCGGAATGGCGTCTCCTCTACTTCATTGCATTTATACTCCTAGTCGGATTCTTTGTTTTGAACATGTTCGTGGGGGTTGTGGTAGAGAACTTCCACAGATGTAGAGAGGAACAAGAAAAAGAAGAACGTGTTAGGAGAGCCGCCAAACGAGCTCTGCAGATGGAAAAGAAAAGACGAAGTAAGTGTCAAATTAATTTAATATTCTTTTCTTAATTTGTCTCTTTTTTAGTATATGCTATCGGGCACTGCAACTCTTTCAATGCAATCATCATAGACGTCACAACTTGAATACTGTCGCTCTCCTTAAGAAGTCAAGTCCAAGTAACTTTCAAACAATAACTGCTTCGCGGTGGAATTAAGCAGTATGGTGATATCTACTCGTGCTGGCATCCTAGGAATAGATGGAGTAGTGTTATGCTAGGACGAGGAACAACTGGTCACGTAAATAGAAGGGAAATATAATTTGCGTCTTACGTAGTGGCGTTGAGTCATCAGTTAGCATGGTTTGGCACCACCATCCCATCTATTGTGTCCGGAAAGAAATCATGCATTTGAAGGGAAGATTTGAAAATGGAATTATGTTGTAGGCGTAGTTACTTTGTGGTACTTAAGCTTTACTAATTACTTAACAATAGATTAGCCAAAGGTCCATATACTCGTGTAGATCTTTGTTCTTTTTTTATACCTTTAAATTCTTTCATTCCAGAAATGCATCAAAGACCATATTATGCAGACTATTCTCAAACACGACTGTTTGTTCACAATGTTGTGACTTCAAAATACTTTGATTTAGCCATTGCTGGTGTGATTGGTCTTAACGTGGTCACAATGGCTATAGAGTACTACAAAATGCCGCCGGCATTGCAATACGCTTTGAAGATATTCAATTATTTTTTCACTGCTGTCTTCATATTAGAAGCAGTAATGAAACTCGTTGCGCTGGGATTTAAAATATATCTAAAAGACAAATGGAATCAATTAGACGTGATAATCGTAATATTGTCAATTGTCGGTATAGTTTTAGAAGAATTAGAGACGAATATAATTCCAATAAATCCTACTATAATGAGAGTTATGCGAGTTTTGAGGATCGCAAGAGTTTTGAAATTATTGAAGATGGCAAAGGGTATTAGGGCCCTTCTAGATACAGTAATGCAAGCGTTACCGCAAGTTGGAAACCTGGGCCTGTTGTTTTTTCTGCTGTTCTTCATATTTGCGGCACTGGGAGTAGAGCTATTTGGCAGACTAGAATGTTCTGATGAAATACCGTGCCAAGGTTTGTGAGAATTACAACATTAAATATTACTCTCCCTACAAAAAAATACTATTTTCATCACATGAAAACTAAAGCAACTCTAAATTTTAGGTCTTGGAGAACATGCCCACTTTGCCAATTTCGGAATGGCATTTTTAACTTTATTCCGTGTAGCGACGGGCGATAACTGGAATGGTATAATGAAAGATACTCTGCGGGAAGACTGCGACAGTTCAGTGGACTGCGTTCGCAACTGCTGCGTGTCTACAATCATTGCGCCTATATTTTTCGTAGTATTCGTGCTTATGGCACAGTTTGTACTCGTCAACGTTGTCGTGGCTGTAAGATTATTAACTATTTTCAAACTTACAAATTCGTAACTAATCGTTATTGAATGAATGTTTAAAATTTTTAGGTCCTAATGAAACACCTAGAAGAATCCCACAAACAAATGGAAGATGAAATCGACATGGACGTTGAGCTCGAGCGCGAATTGGAACGGGAAGCCGACGACGAAGAAGACCGAGCACTGTGCCGAGCCCTAGAAGAATGCGTATCCCCACCACGGCCACTGAACAAGGTACCATCCCTTCCCGCAAACTTTACATACAGCGAGCCGAAGCAGCCGCTGCCGTCGCCGGCCCGACGCCGCCGCACGATGCACTCGCACCACGCGCTCCTCCCCGGCCTCCCCCCTACTGGGCTCCCCCCGCGCCGAGCCTCCCTCTCGCCGCACGCCTTCGGGCGCCGCCGACAGGACTCCGCATCTGAGCCACCTGCCGCTCTCTACGAAGAAGACGCTAGATTTATCGACGCTGACGACATCGAAGAATTAGAGCCCGGTAGCCCTCCGAGACGAGACTCCTTTGCCCAAAATCGAAGGCAGAGGGTTGACAAACGAAACTCTCTTCGCGGAGAAGAAGCCAGACTTTTGCGACCCGCGCTTTTGTCCGTTCCTACTACACGGCAGAGCGTCCGACTCAGCGGACCCAAACGAAGGTCATCAACAGAGTCTGCCGTCGCGTGTACTTCATTGCGATCTCCCAACCAACAGAACCAAGCGGTTCCCGAAGCTATCGACCGACTTATAAGCGAGGAGGAAAAGATACGTATAGTGATCGCGGAGAGGCGGAAGATCGACACGGGACGGCCCGACGTGGAGGAAGCAGTCGAACTGTCAGAGCGTGGTTCTTAGTGCAGGCGCGGCCGGCCGCTGCTACACCATGAAGTCTACATCTAGACGCGATACATAATCGCATCCCAGATGATCAGCTTCTCTTCCTTCTCTATCTTCCGATATTTTACTCTACCCTGTCACTTCTGGAACGTTCTTGATACGGTCGAACATTGGAGTCGGTTGCACAAAAATGCCAAAAGTGTTTGTTAAACATTGTACATTTGATGTGAATATAAATTGTGCCAATGCATTATTGTTTCAACCGATTTAAGTATGGTGATGCTTTGTCATTTTCGTGTCAGGTACTACACTATTTAGTTCCTTAGTGATTTCCGATTCAACCTTTCTCATCTTAACCAGTTGCGGCCGGTTCGAAGACTTCTGAAGAGACTTTAATAAAGTTAAGAGTGTATAAAACTGTGTAGATAGGGCTTAGAACTAGTCAATTTGTTGTGGTGGGACTTTTTCTACGTGAGCTGAAGTTCACTACGTAATTTTATTATTAGGACGGTGCTTACTGTTAAAGTTTTATCGATTTTGTTCAATATTCAATCAGTGAGTATTTCCATTAAGACCTCAACGAAAAATTTCGTTTTTAGTATAACGTAACGAAATTAGGTTTTACGTAGATTTTACGTGCAGATGTTGAGTCGTATAGATATATTGTGCGTCAATTTGAATGTTAGTTTTATTTTAATACTAAGCACGGGTTTCGAATCATTGAATTATGGTAGTAACTTTAAATGTAATCCAACGATCTGTAGACAAAATCTTTATTAATTTTGAGTATTTAGTTATATTATTATTATAATCATGTTAAAATATTAGTGAACGACTGTGTAGCCTCGTAGATTGTTGTTACTAGTTAGAATTTCGTCAATATAATGTGTTTAAGACGGAACCAATCGTTTGCGAACTCTTTCAAAATGTATTACAAACTATTTTCTCAATAAATAAATCATATTTTCTTACAGATAACATAGATTATTAACTGGTAAAACGCACATAAGCATAGACAGTAGACTCGTAGTGCAAGTGTGAGTTACAGAATTACTGTTCGTTTTCATTGTGGTCGAAATAATAATTTAATCTTAGGACTCTCATTCCGTTGTCAGATAAAAGTGATTCTGAAAATAAAGTACAATGGATACAAATGAAAAATTACTTTTGGACGAACTAAAACAATTGAACTGGATGCATTGAAGTTCAGTCGGATTATAATTATATTGATCGTTAACTTTTATCTGACGATTGAAAAATCAGTACTCACTAATCTAATGTGAATCGACGTGAGCAGTGCCAAATAAACAACGACTATTCTATGAAAAGAATACGTTGGCAATTTTTTGTAATTCCTTTTTCTTTTATATCGCTTTTGAATTTCTTTAAAACTCTTCGATTTTAATACTGAACACATCTGTTATATAGCCGCTGAGAGCAACAACATATTTGAAAGCATATTCAGAGCGATTAGAACTAGGTTTATTACAAAAAAAAAAACGTACTTTCAAACTCCTAGTTACGATAATGGAAAAGTACTTAGTTAAGAAAGTCAGCAATAAATTTTATACTTCAACTGTGCCTTCCCTATTTCTAACGTGTTAGCTCGATGGATTAAACTTGATTAGGCTTCTGAAATTTAAATATATACTGTAGTTAGAGTCGGTGGATAGTTACAAAATTGAACCTTGTTGAAACTATTAAGTTTTTGTTGTGTGTGCTATTTGAAAGTTTATATAACGTAAGACGGTTTCCCTCGAAACGGAATTAACTCCATCTAGTACAGTCGGCAAGTTGAAAATGGTACAAAATTTGGTAGACCTATATTCAGCGTTAAATTAAAATTATAAATAATGGAGATGGAGTTCCGGGAGTTAAGAGTTTTTTTATTGGAAATTTCCTCCTCTTTCAGAATCTGTTTTTTAAATTTCTCAAATATTAATAGTTTATGAAATATTGGCAAAAACGAAATGCTATTTTTTTTTTCATCTTTAATTGCTTATAACTTTTGCAATTTTTTTATGTGCTAATACACGCTTTTAGCACATTTTTCTAGGCGTCATTCCGGATCCAATGAGCTATCGCACATGATTTTATGAGCAGTATCTCTATTTTGTACCATTTTCAACTTGTCGACTGATCATTCCGAATACTACAAACTGTTCCGCTTTCAATTCAGTGAACCTTGCATTACGAACTTGTACTATTTAATATTAATGTCTTTGTTCCTTCGTTACATTGCTTCCATCGCTTCTATAGTGACTTCAGTAATCAAGTTAGCTTATTATTCTTTGTGCTTCTTCTTCCATTAAAACTTTTCTGTACAGCGTCTTCCATTTAACGTATTCGCCATTTTTAACTTGAAAAAAAAACGATTCAGAATTACAAAATTAGTCTAAATAAATCTGTATTTTAGAGAATAAAAAAAAAACAGTCCTTAGATATTATGATTTCGTCGTCATACAAAAGAATTGATTGAATGGAATTTAGTAATTTAAGTATACAGTATTTTCGTGATAAATGATAAGCTACGTGATAATGATGAGTTTTTTTTCTTTACTGATCGTTTACTTGTATTAAGTGGTATGAACAATGTTCATAGTTGAGTACATCTGTTGTATTAGCTGGTGATCTGTCAAGTTACGAAAGTTTCATCATGTTAGGTTGAAAGAATAAAAGTTTAAACTAAAATCTGTCTTTCATTTAAACCCTTTTATCAATACTAATAATATTATAAAGCTGAAGAGACTTTTTTTTTTTGAACGCGCATTAGGAACTACTGGTCCGATTTGAAAAATTCTTTCAGTGTTAGATAGCCCTATTTATTGAGGAAGCCTATATAGCATCAGGGTAAGATCAATATAAGTAAAGCACCAATAAATAATGTTTCAAAATAGGGGCTTAAATAGCTCCTTAAATTCTATAATTAAAAAATATTTTCATTTTCTACGTAAATGAAAAATTTAAAAAATTAGCGTAATTAGGGTAAAATTTTGCGTTAGGCCAAAGTAACTATTCCACGCGGACGGAGTCGCGGGCAAAAGCTAGTATGATTATATATTGACCGCTTATAAGATGTCTTTAAATAAACAACCGTTTTCAATTTTGTTGTCGCTTCAAAAATATAATATTGTTCATAGCCTAAAATCTCTAAATGCTACCCAACATATTCACGATACGTCTTAATTATGACATTCTTAAATTACTAAAAACTTCGGTTCATGCCCAAGCTCGAACCCGCAATATATCATTTAGACAGTGCACTTTATGCTAATGAGTCACGATCGCGCTGCTAATATAAGCGATTCCTAGAGCCGTGGAGACAGGGGGAAAACGGGGAGCGTAACAAGCGTATAGAATTGACTTCGGCTACAATCTTAACGAGCATTTTCTCTTGTTAGCAGGCGCTTACAATCTCATCAACATAATACCTGTTAACGAATTTTGAGGGGCCCTTTATCTTCTTATTTTTATAGACCTTGTTCAAAAAAATATGAATCGCGGTATTATCACATCTTACAGGTAATCTATGAGATCTTCGTTAAAGTGAGTTCGAAGTGAACTTATCTGATAAATACCTTATTAAACGAAATAAAGCAGACTGCCTGTACACTAATTGAAAGAGAAACTGATGTCTTAAGCAGTCCAACGCAAAAAAAAGATGTATGGTGTCGTGGGACACCAGATAGGAACGAAGTTTCTTATTATAAAAATATTAATTTTAATTTCTATTCGAGGTATAAATAACATAAAACTGGAGGTTTCGCAACAACCCACGGTCATTCGGTAACGTGCGAACTTATTGTGGTACACTTCATTCACGGTTGTTTGCATAAGAGTTAGTGTATTGCGCAAACGAACGCTCTGAGATCGTGGTCAATGAATAATAAAAAAATATGTTATTTTTTGTACGTTATTACAAAGTAAAGTCGTTCACTGTGTGCATTACTAATAAAAATCTTACGTTACGGACGTTTTTTCCCGGTTAGGGTACCCCTCCGCATCGTCCCATAAGAAACTTGGTTCCGAAACCTTGTAAGTTGAATGTGATTGTAACTTCGCTTTGGTAGCAACATGGAAAGAAATCCTTGTTTTCATAACTCTAATTTTGTTCAATCTCTGTCAGACGCGCCTGTCCGGAGCCCGCCTGACCTATATTAAAAGTTTTACATAAAAACGTACTGGATAAAGTTGAGACATATTTTGTATCTCATTCGCAGTACTAAGCTGTGTTTGTTTGTCAACTATAAAGTTAGCTCTCTCCAAAAATTCAGCAGAATGGTATGTTAGTTTTTAAATAAGTAAATTATAAAATTATATCCTTTATGACGCATACGCTAATCTTTATTGTAGCTAAGCCAATTTTAATTAAATTTCCAGTTGCATAGATGTCATTTAGGGCAATTTTTTTTTTACTGCTTAGATGGGTGGACGAGCTCACAGCCCACCTGGTGTTAAGTAGTTACTGGAGCCCATAGACATCTACAACGTAAATGTGCCACCCACCTTGAGATATAAGCTCTAAATTCTCAAGTATAGTTACAACGGCTGCCGCACCCTTCAAACCGAAACGCATTACTATTATTATTATTTATGATAGATACGCTCGTGTTAACGAACTATATTAACTATGCTTTTGATAATAAAGCATTTTTAATATAATAAACAAACTTTATCATTTGCCTTATAGCTATTGGCGTAAAATAAACAAGAAAAATAATAGGGATCGCTATTTTTTTCAGCTAAAAGCAAAAATGATAGGTGGAGCTACGCAAACAAACTGTCGAACTGCCGAACTGCACTCCGCTCGTGAGCTTTTCCAGCAACAGTCCGAATAAAAAATGCACGACTATATGACTTCAATATTGAACGTCGAAAAGATTTTGTTCGTTACCTTTCAGCGCACGCTTTTTGCGTCGAATGCATTTTTAAAATACTGCGGATTAAACGTTTTCAAACGTTCAAAAGTAGTTTATTTGTGTTCATTAAATCAAACGACTATAAAAGTAACCGGCTGGTCACTTAGGTATGGTATTCAGTTTATATACAAGACATAAAAAAAACGGAAACTGTCTGTTACTTACTACTACTTTTTACTTTTTTTATTTTTATTTATTGCTTAGATGGGTAGAAGAGCTCACAGCCCACCTGGTGTTAAGTGGTTACTAGAGCCTATAGACATTTACAATGTAAATGCGCCACCCACCTTGAGATATAAGTTCTAAGGTCTCAGTATAGTCACAAAGGCTGCCCCACCCTTCAAGCCGAAACGGATTACTACTTCACGGCAGAAATAGGCTGGATGGTGGTACCTGGTACCTACCCGTGCGGACTCACATGAGGTCCTACCACCAGTAAATAGGCGGGATGGTGGTAAAAAGTTTCAATTCTAAAAAAAGAATTGCCTAAATACACAAATCGTATTTTATTATTTCAGAACATAATACGTAATATGCTTTATGAAATGAACAAACCCATTTTTAGCGTAAATATAATGAGGAAGATGCGACGGATTTGAATGAAAGTGTGATCACCGTTGGCCATGAATTGAAATTATTTTTGTTTCGAATTAATTTGATACTCTGACCTCACGTCTCAAGGTTTTCAATGCCCCTCGTGAAGAAGTCGAGAGTACGAGAGCTAATAAACTCTTCAAAGGCATTCTGTATGGCCTCGCGGGTATTAAGTATTTTTGCTGCCAAGAAGTTGTTGAAGCTTTGGAAAAGTACAAGTCTGTCAGCACAAGGTCTGATCAGTACGTGGATGACGTAACGCTTCTAAACAGTATACAGAAAGGGTACAAATCTTTAAATCGATCTTTGATACGATAGCTCCAAATTTCACGGGATTCACGGAAATTTCATAGAAATCGGTCCAGTTATTTCGGAGTCTACAGGAAACATAGAGGGAACATAGATATTTGATTTCCATATTTATATATTAAACTACTATAATACAACAGTATCAACACCGTGTCATTTAAAACGGTTTCCAAAAAAGGGTTTTTCCGACAAAATCTATTATAATTATAAGTGTGCGACGGACTTCACACAAACATTATTGGCACAAACATTCCTCGCATAAACGTTCCATTAAAATATATAATTATGCTTCCAATACTATGACCAGTCACAAAACACATATTACTTAATTTCACAACGACAACCCACACATACAGGAGCACTCGACTTTTATGAATTTACCTTACATGGGCTTCACAAACATACATATATTTCGGGCTTTAGATACGTACTTTAGTATTCAAAATATCACTTTTCACGAAAACATTTCACGATTTTTATATCAATATTTGTAGGTGCTTACCTTTTTTTACCCTACTTAATCGTTGGTAGCTTTATTGCAACTTAGGGTTATTCCAATTACGCATAGACTGGTAGGTGAACTTACGAAGCTCAACCTGAGCGAACTCACTAACACTAGCCCTAACAATTTTTTTTTATTGCCCTTGTAGGCAGACTAGAATACCTGATGGTGAGTGGTTACCGTCGCCCATGGACTTTAGCAATGCCAGGGGCAGAGCCAAGCGGCTACCTACATATATAATAAGTAGTGCTTCGCTGAATCGACCACCGGATCGGAATGCAGTTTTTCCACTTAAAGAAATCATCAAAAAACTCAGGTTTTTCCCTTTTCCAAGTATAATATTAACGCAACACATAAAATTAACAAACAATTAGATAACATTAATTACATTGCAAAGCATTCCTTACACTAATAATAACTAGATGATGATCGGTTTTTTTTTATAACGCCATCTTATTGTGTCTTTAAAACGGTTAGTTGCCCTCAATTAAAAAAAATAGTATTATTATTCGCCAATAGATGTCGGGAAGAGTTGATTATTGAAAACATGAATAAAACAACATTTTCTGAAAATAAATCGTAGCTAGATCGATTTATCGCCCCCGAAATCCCCCGTATACAAAATTTTATGAAAATTGTTGGAGCCGTTTCCGAGATTCAGATTATATATATACAAGAATTGCTCGTTTAAAGGTATAAGATAATGAGTAGAGCTACAATAATCATCGATATAATTTCAATCCCACTTACAGCTAACGAGAAGCTAGACCCAGTTAACGCGCCGAGCTGTCAGATTGCCCTAGTTAGTCGCTATACCGATAATCGACCACTCGATTTAACTATTAATTTGTTTGCTTAGTATAGTGCTTGATACCCAATTCAATTAGATCCAGCTTATGTACCCACGTTTGAACGTACTACATATGTATCTGCTTGTATATAAATTGACTTCGCTATGATATTGGTCCTTTTATTTGTAGCCAGACAATTCAAATTTTCACTCGCTCGGAATTCTATAACATCTTATTACTTTAGTCACCTAAAATCAATTTCAAGTAAATTATTTTTATAGAACTACTTTTACGGATTAAGTTCGCGTTAATTAATTTACATTCTAATTGTTCCGATCATTCAAATACCTTACAGTTTTCGTGGTCATGTATTATTATACGGCGACATTTGAATATTTTGCTCTAGGCAGCGGCTTGGCTCTGCCCCTGGCATTGCTGAAGTCCATGAGCGACGGTAACCACTCACCATCAGGTGGGCCGTATGCTCGTCTGCCTACAAGGGCAAAAAAAAAAAAATTGATATTTACTTTCTTTTTACACAGAAAGAA